CAAGAGTTACCTCTATTCATCAAAATGTCCTAAAATAGCAGCCACAATCCAGAAACATAGTTTTGAAAGTGGTTGTTCTGTGCTGTCAGGTTGCTATCCTCTGAAGATGCCGGACACAGAGACTGGCGAAACGTTAGGAAGAACAACCTTCAGAACACGGCCAAAGAGCCCGAAAAACCCAGAACAACCATTAGATCCCGGCCGTGAAAGCCTTCGCGAATATATAGTTTTGAAACATCCTCTTTATATTGGTCCCTGTCTAGGAAAGAGAATCAAATCCTCCAACAGTGGAGGAGATCAAGAGATAGATATATTACTCCTATTTGGCTAAGAGAGAAATGAGACCATACAGTTAGCAAATAAATGTTGCTAAATAATTGAGACAATTAGCTATGTTTCCTTTTTTTATTGTTTAAAAAGGCACATAATTACTTGGGCACCATGGCAGCAGAGAACACCCAGAGAGCAACAACATTTAGGGAGGCATAAGGGAAAAAGGTCATTTGGTTCCCAAAATTACAGAAATGCACGAGATGGTGAGCCTTTTATTGAAGGTGAGCCTTTTATTAAACAAATAGCAAGCTTTGGGGGATGAAATCTACATCCTCAGGCTAATCCTTCATGGACAGTGCAGGAAAATTGTAGACAAGAGTCCAAAAACTGACAATGTATGTCTGTGATTGTGCCTCTCCCCCCGCCCCCAATTGCTTGCTTGAAACATAGTTTCTTTTAGTGGGGCTCTCAACACCAGCCACATGAGTTCTTCACGTCAACTAGAAGTGACCAGAATCTGAAGAAATATCTCTGTATACTCACCAGGTAAAAACATTAATTCAACTTTTAATTTAGCACAAGTGGCTGCTTCTGCCTGGTGAATGAACCAAATTACAACCTCAAACTTTTGCTAGAATCTGCTAGGTCCTTGTATTGTCTTTCCTCACCCACAGAGCGAAAAGAAATTTTGTTTCAAGCATATCAAGTAAAAACAAAAGAAAACAAGACAAAAGCTTTGCAGCACCTTAAATACAATTATATTATAATGTAAACTTTCGTGGACATACTTTATTTCAAGCAATGTGTGAGCGTGTGTGGAGAACAATCACAGGGAAATTGGCAGCCTTTTGGTCTCAAGAGAGGGGTGTAAAAATCCCAAGCCTTGAGGCCCAGTCTCAAGAGGACCTGGATCATCTCTCACAGACAGACATCATCAATTTTTGGATTCTTGTCTGTATCTGCACTATCTGTGAAGGTGGTGTGCGTAGAGCGTGAGGAAGTGGATTTCATACACAAAAGCTTGCTATCTGTTTACATTTTTAGTGGTCCCATAAAAGGTCTTACCCTGTCTTGCATTTGTGTAATTACCGGAGGCAATGTTTGTTTTGAAAGATTCAACACAGGGTTCTAATTAGAGGATGAGTGGACTGTGTCTCCAGCCACTAACAGCATCACAGACAACAGCCAAGAGATGCCAGTGGCAATGACACCGTCTCATTCTACATAGCAGACACAATACTAATAACGACTGTACTGGTCAGGGTGAAACTTTACCCTACATGGTAGAAAAAACACACCACACAGTACTGGGAAAACATGATATTCTTGCAACAGAAAGACAGCTTGGAGCAAAGACACTGGGACTCAGCATAACAGACATGCCTTTTCAGTAAGAAATATTGCTTTTAAAGCAAGAACATTCAAAAGCCCTATAGTTCCCTTGTAGGCCAAAGGCAGCAGCTGACTGTGGATTTGTGTATATGTATACAAACAAGCCTCCACAATGAGAACATGTGATGATGGTGCTTCCTATCCTTAATGATAACAAATGAGTAAAAACACAGTCCTTTCAGGGCAAACTTCTTACTTTGCAAAGGATACTTATCTATTTTTCCTGCTTTTCACCTTATAGACACTGTAGTTCTACACACACTGTAGTGTCTATAAGTGATTGTTTATTAGCCTACTGTCTCTGACATGCGACCAGAGGGAAGATTTCTCCCTCAACAGTTTTTTCCTAACGAATGAGTAAAAACACAGTTCTTTCAGGGCAAACTTCTTACTTTGCAAAAGATACTTATCTACAGTATTTTTCCTGCTTTTCACCTTATAGATACAGTAATTCTGCACACACTGTGGATTGGACTGTGCAAGTGATTGTTGATTAGCCCAGTGGTCCCCAACCTTAGCCTACTGTCTCTGACATCCTACCAAAGGGAAGATTTCTCCCTCAACAGTTTTTTCACAACTGCTGTATCCTTCATTATCAGAAGGCATATATTCTTAACTACACATCCACATTTAACCTTCATTTAAGAAGTGGGCTCTGCTTAAAGAAAGGATTCCCAAACATGGGTCTCCATGCACCTGCTGTAGGACTTCAAGGCCCAGGATATCTAACCACTGGGCATGCTAGCTGAGGCTTCTGAGCTGAGGTCCAGCAAAAGCTGGAGACCCAAGTCTGAGAGCCACCACATCGTAGTTGAAAGTTATGTCAAACAACAACAACAATCTGCCACGAGTCTGTGAGAAAGCAAAGTGTGCTGTTTATATACTGTCCCATAGCGCTTAAAACACCCATTTTTTCCCTGAATGTGTAAGGGAATTTATCTTAAAAGCACAACACACAAATGCTAAGAACATTTCAGTTACCTACTAGAAACAGAGAAAACATCTACAGTATCTGCCAAATTCACCACGGCATTCCCAGCCTGCTCTCCCAGCTATCTCTCCACAGCAGTATAACCATAAAGGCTAACAAAGATATATCCTATTCTATAGGTGTATGTTCTGGAATAACACAACCAGGCAAGTGTTTCAGACAGAAAATGTCTTAGCTTTCCAATTAAAAGTTAATTGTCTTTGTCATTAGACAGGCTCCCTCTGCTCATTTCCCCTGAAATTTGCTCAATACTAGATCTTCCTTAATAAGCAATAAACACATAGCAGGACACAGTGGTAGAATCAGATTAACAGGATTAGAAAGAGCTTTTAATACTCCCATCGTAATCTTTTAATTTACATCTGACTCCAAATCAAATTGGCCCCAACTTCCACAATGAATGATAATTTACTGAGAGTTTTAGTCAGGCCTCTGTATATACCCTGTGGTAATAATAAACAAGAAAAAAGAAGAAGACTTTACATGAGATATAATCCACCTGCATTTTTAAAAAAATCTCACCAATTTTCCCTACAATGACATATACATATTAGAAATTGTAACATAATATTCCTTCATGAAAATGTCATATTTCCTATTTATTATATTTCTTATTATCTTCCCTTTCCTTTAGACCTCATAATAATTATGGTCGACGTGTTAGCTGTCAATTTTACAGAAAGCTCAGCTCCTCTAAATCATGTAGGACTGCAGCTTCCATCAGCGCCAGCCAGTACAGGCAATGGTGCAGGATCTCTGGAGTCTAGATAAGATCTAAACTCTGGAGATCCAGTAATTTCCCTATCCCTGCTTTATAGCATGTCTTCTGACACTATCTACAAGGGGAATGAAGAGTGGAGATAAAAGAAGTTCCCCTTTCATGTCACCTTGACCAAGTCCATGAATTTACTACATCTGAATCAAAACATGCCATTTAAAGCACCAGGCATTGTTTGTGTATTGTGCACAAGCTGCAGAAATAACAGATACCAGAATTTTGGTTCACTCAGTCCTTGAACCCTTGCTTTAAATAAACTAATGGAGTGACAGTGCTCCAATAAGGGACATTTTGCCACATATCTCCAGGCAATTAGCATACAATTTTGTAAACCATATTGAAGGTATGTTTGCATCACAAAAGCACAGAGCAGTTGTGTTTCTCCCAGCCCTAAGTGCTTTGTGTGTGTGTGGGGGGGGGGGTAAGATTTCTGGGACTAGGTCCCTGATACAGCACTGCAAAGGGAAAATCAGCTCCAGGCCTGAAGCCATCTAAACTTGTGACCCTGTCAGTCAAGACCCAATTAGCTGACTCTCAGAGAATAATTTTTGAACAACTCCCTGGCCAAATAGGCATTGGTGTTGGCAAAGGGATTCTGCCTCTGGTTGTAAAAATGTTTTCAAAATATATTTTTGAAAAAAAAATTGGAACAAATTTTCAGAAGCTCTTGATTGAGCACCCACTTTTCTGCCTTTCTGGCAGTCTGTGGTTATCAACAAGGCTCTCCTCCAACACATTTCAAATGAGTTGATCCCTATCACCAGCTGTCCACCTTTCACATAGCATAGATTATTTTGACCTTGGTTTCAAGTGACAATCTTTGCTAACTCCCAATCACCCTTTCTTATTTCAAAAAACAAGGGGACATCTTTTGGAAAACAACATGCAGAGCAATGGTTTGGAAACTGGAACATAACTTTCTAGTCTACACTCTGTGGAGCAGACATGGCAACATTAGTTTACCTGAGAAGTTAAAAGTTATGTATGTTTCTCCGTTGTATGTTTTGCACTCACTCACACTTTTGACAACATTAGTTTACCTGAAAAGTTAAAAGTTATGTATGTTTCCCCATTGTATGTTTTGCACTCACTCACACTTTTGCTTCACCAGTTTATTAGCTTCGTAACAGCCCTTCAAAATATTTTGGCACAGAGGGACTGCAGCCACATATCGGCTATTCTTGCTTTTGCCTTCCCTGAGCGACCATATTACAGATTATGTGCTCATCCTTTTAGGATCCTCTAGCACAGTGTAATTCTACATGAGGGAAGTTACAGTTAGAATTTGTGCTTAGTTTATGTATATTTAAACTTCCATTTAAAAAGCCAGTACATTCAATTCTTAAAAAAAAAAATCTTCTTTATGAATGTGGGATATTGTGCTTCGGTATTGTTGCCAGGAAGCATCCCAAATGTTGACACCAATAGCAGCAGTCAAGATGGTCTACAGGATACCCTCTTGTGTTCACCATTCACAATACAAGCCATGGTAAGACATCGGGAGAATATCAAGTCCCAGACTGTGAAATGCTAAAGAGGTATAAAAATTGGTTGCCTTTTTATCTGTCAGTCTCAGGTCAGATGTGACCAGCCTAGGAAGATTTGTTTGGCCGGCTTCTCCAGGACTGCACAAAACTAAAGTAGAGCAAGGGTGTAAAAGCTCCTTTGAGAACCCATCCTTAATGTGGATGAATACAAACATAGCAGGACAGAGATAAACATTACTCAAGACACAGCCTCTGGGGAATATAAGCCACACCTTCACTCACAAATGCAATAGCACACGTTTTCTTGAAGCCTCTTTCTAAAACGATAGGTATAGAGAAACAAAGGCAGAAAACGTTGTCAGCAATAGACAGACCACCTTACTCCTGGTAGCCTTCCTCGATTTAATTAGGTTGCTGAGATGCAGTAGGAGCAAATGGTTGGCATCAGCACCATCTGGTGGATTTTGGCTGCAAAACAATAAAGCAAATCACAACATATAAACCTACCAGATGAGACTAGGTGTAAATAAAAGACAGTGGTTTTATTGTCTGGAGTCTGTATTCTTCTGGGGAAGATGTTGATGCCTAGACTTAGTGCAACAGACCATCCTCCAGTCTCCTGACTCTAGCAGACAAATTACTTATACATCCATCTGGTAACAGATACTGTTTCTTCTCATGTCAAAATCCATAATGGGCACCAGGTGTCTTCACAAAATTATACCTAAAGAGTCCCAAACAAAACCAAACCAAATCTAGAAGTCCAGGCTTACTCTGTGCTATAAACGGATCCATCCTTTACGTCTTTCCAGCAGGTCCATTGAAGACATGAGCAAAACAAGTGTCCCCTTCTGCTTCATGAGAAACAAAAAAAAAAAGAATGAGTACATCTTAGTTCTAACAACTGAGGATTGCTGCTTAATTCATGGCATTCATTCTTCTATACAGAACCCAAAATTTGGAGCAATTTATTAAAGATATTTATTACGGAGTCATAAAAAAGATGAAGTGGGGGAAGTATTGCTTGCAGAGAAACGTGGCCTTCTCTTTCGTCCTCTTCCTTCCCTCACTCAATTTCCATATAAAAAACAGAAACAAAGTTTGTGGGGTTTTTTTTCAAGATAAGATCAATGTCCGTGAGGTGTGGTTCTGTTTCAACACGCCCAAGACTTGACGAGCTTTGTCTTGCATGATCAGCTGGTCTTTCGAACCACCGCAAGCCACTGTCTTCCAAGCGCTGGACATCTAAGGGGGGAGAGAAAGGAAGCCAAGGAACAGTGTAAAATGCACCTGATGCTGGAGAATAATTACTTCGTGCAGATCTATAAATAACTTCTCACCTGTGGTAAGTCAGAATTAGTGTCACGTGAACAGGAAATTGAATTTTTGCAAAAAAAAAATAAAGAGTGCTCTCTCTTAGATTGTTAAAGTGCTACAAATGAGCTAAACTAAGGGTGGGCAAAGTACAGCTCACCTTCCAATGTTGTTTGACTGCAATTCCCAGCATTTCTCACCATTGCCTACAGTGGGACTGCTGGGAGTCATGAATTATCAACAACTAAAGAGCTGCCACTTTGCCCATCCCTGATCTAATTCATGTTAGGGAAAATGACATGCGTGTATACATACACATACACACACAAACACATAGAAAGTTTCTGATGAATACATAGAGAAAAGCCAAGTTACGTGATTCCTGCAACATAACAGTTCAGGTATGGGACTTCTGTAAGTCAGCAAGACACATTTATTCATTCATATACAGTGGTGCCTCACTTAACGACACACATTTATTCATTCATTCATATACAGTGGTGCCTCGCTTATCGATTGCCTCGTTTAATGAGGAAATTGCTTGACGATTAGGTTTTTGCGATCGCAAAATGGTCTAAATGGGAAAAATCCACTTCACGATGATCGGTTCCCTGCTCCGGGAACCGATTTTCGCATTACAACGATCTAAAAACAGCTGATTGTCGGGTTTCAAAATGGCCACCGGGTGTACAAAATGTCTCCCTGCTGTTTTTAGGAGCCATTTTTTGCTATACAAGCACCCGAAAATGTCCGCCCCTATGGAGGATCTTCGCTGGACGGTGAATTTTCAGCCCACTGGAATGCACTGAATGGGTTTCAATGCATTTCAATGGGCTTTTTAATTTCGCTTTACGATGTTTTCGCTCTACAGCGATTTCACTGGAACAAATTAACATTGTCAAGCAACGCACCACTGTACTGCCCATCTGGCAGCCAAGGCCACTCCTGGCGGTTTAAAACAAATCACAAAAAACCCAGTAACAAAATAGCAAATAGCAACATTAATACATAGGGGTGAAAATCAAAAATCAAAGTGAAGTGAGGTTAAAATTATAATACAATAAATACAATTAAATGCGTAGAAAAAATAAAAAATATGAAGCATGGCAGTATGATAGAAGCTATATTATTGGACACTATTGTATCAGAGTATAGTTTGTTCAGGGTTTTTAGTAGCTTTTTGAATGTGGCCAGTGAAGGGGCCAGGCGGACTTCAGGCGGAAGAGTTCCATAGTTGTGGCACTACCACTGAGAAGGCCCGATTTTTAGTGATTGTTTTTCTGGGCCTCTCTCTCAAGGTCAGAACTCTCAGCCGCCCTGCCCGCGACGATCTTATAGGATGGGCAGACCTAAATTGCTTTTCTGGGTCTCTCTCTCGAGATCAGAACTCTCAGCCGCCCTGCTTGCGACGATCTTATAGGACGGGCAGACCTAACTGGAAGGAGGTGCTTAGCCAGATATCGAGGTCCCAAATCATTTAGGTGCACACACACCGTGCAGGCCAAATGATGAGTGAAAGCCCTCAAATCAGGAGCAGACAGATCAGCCCTGTAACTTCCTTGCTGTTCCCATGCCACCTTCTTCTTCGCCCAGTAAGAAAAGCACCTGGCTGCAGTACGGCAGTTGCAAAAATTCCCTGCAACTCACAGAGGTGGATGGAAGGCCGAGTTCTGGTGGAGGCTGCATCTATACAATATGGTCTGCAGTGGGGTGCTCTTCTTACTGATCTAATAAGAAGGTGCAGGGAGCACAGAGAGCTGAGAGAGCATCAGGAGATTTTTCACAAGATGCCATGCTTACCAGAGCAGGTGGCCTGTATTTGCTTTGGATTCTCCTAGAAGGCTGGTTCTTCTCTGCCTTAATGTGTACAAAACCTCTGTTGAGCAAACTGCTGTTATTCTTGTTGCTGAAGGAAAGGTTTAGGGACTGTGATGGGAAGTTCACAGGCTGCAGTCAATCAAAGAATAAAATAACAAGTACAATTATTTATTTATTGAGATTAACATGCCCAATTTCCCTCTAAAGCATGTTCTAAAAAGAGTAAGCTAAAAGCATACATTTAACAAAATCCAATGTTTCTTATCTCTCAGGCACAGTGTCAGTTTTCCACATCAAGACAGAGTCTCATTTTTATTATCCATTTGTTCATAATGGATCATAATGTAAATTTCACTTGTTTTCTGATTCACTAGAATATAAACCATTTTTTTTTTTAAAAAAAAATAAGAACGTTCAAATTTGCAGCTTCCTATTTGTTGTCTCAAGGGATAGTCTACAATTCTAGTGCTTAATCTTATATAACAGATACAGTAGATGGTTCACCAAGATACCTGAATGATAAACCAGGAAAGGTGTGTGTGTGGTCATCTAGAGGGTGATGAACTACAGCTACCATCACTGGCTGTGCTGACTAAGCTATCAGACTGGAGATTTACTCATCTCCCATCCCTCCAGCAAACCTATGTATGCAGGCTGTGGGGCAAACCAAACTGGAATCAACATAACTTGCTTATTTCTTCCCAAACACACACATGATCTTGCTGTGTCCAAGCTTGGGCAGAGCTAAATATGTACCTATAGCCCTGTAGAGGCTAACACAATGCCTGAGTGGTTTGGAGCCATAGTCATGTCGCTCAGCCATATAGCTCCTAATCAACTCAACAAGTGAAACAATTCACAAGAAGAGCTTGATATTTGCTTGCAGGTTCTATGACCCTGAAGTTCCACTCAATCTTTCTAAAGATGAACTGATCAAGTGAAGGTGGAAAAAAAGTAGAAGAGAAAGGGACGCCTTGAAACAAGTCTGAAAAATGTCACAACATTCCGATATATTCTGCCTCCAATAAAGACAAACTCTAGTAGGCGAAATGTTGTCTTAATAAAAGTAATAAATTGCTATGTCTGGGAGACTCCCATAGAAGCATGTTGTGCATTTTCTCATTTTATTATATTTCTACAAGCATCCAAGGCAGGGGTCCTCAAACTACGGCCCACGGGGCACATCCAGCTCACCTTGTCTTTCGATTGGTGGTGGTATAGTGGTTGCTCACATGAGAAGGAGAATCTCCCTTCTCGCATGACTTTTCCGCAGTCATCGGAGGAGGAAAGCTTGTGGGATTATAATGCTGACGTCATCCCACACAGTTTTCTCTTTCGATGGCTGAGGAGTGTCACACTCCTGCCTGTGAGTAGCAGGAAAGAAGAAGACAGAAGAGAAGTGAGAACAGCAGGTAAGTGTGTTTAGGGGAGAAGAGGGGGGCCTCACCTTTCAAGAAATAAAATTAGGCCAATTTTGGAAACTAGTAGAAACAAATGTCTTTGTATTGAATTTGTGATTTATCTACTACATTCTTTATTATAACATCCAAAATCAAGTCTTTCTATACCTTTTTAAAATTTAATATATTTCAATTTTAGATAGCAAAAAAGATAGTACATTCTTATTTTTTAAACCCATCAAAATAAAATTCCAATCTCCATTTAATCGCTTACTAACATTATAATCATTATAATAAAAATTCACCCCTATCAAGTAAAAAAAGGGACCCGAGTCCTTTTTCTCTCTCACTTGATCCATTCGTTCATATTGTTTTCATACCATAGTCCACCCCCCAACAGTCTGAGGGACAATTAACTGGCCCCCTGTTTAACAGGACCCCTGATCTAAGGCTTGGCCTTTTTCATTTTATTTGCATTTGCTTGCTCCTACACCATTTCTTACCTCCTGCGATCAATACAGAGAACATCCAGCAGACTTTTCTTTAACTATTCTGCTGTCTGCAAAAATCTAAGCCTCTCCTTCACATGACACAATTGCCCAAAACCACATCAGGCAGATGCAGTACTTCAGTTACACAGTTATTTAGCATCATGAATGAGATTTAGCCACAGCTTTCCAATTTACATCACTACGTAAGTGCATCTCGAACAAGTCAGGTATTGATTATTACCTCCATGGTAATGAAACACAAAGACACAGCAATTATTTTAGAAAGCCATACAGGATTTTTGGTTTTGGACTTTGTTATTCTACTAAAATTCCAAGATAATTCATGAACGTGGACAGATACTCGGCAGCAACTCATTAACTACATCCTTAAACTACTCTTTTAAATGAAACCTTTTGTTCACCTTTCAAGTATCCAATAATGCAGGTGCCTGCAATGCACTTTTCAGTATTTCCTTCTTACAGTCCTTGCAGATTGTGGAACATTCACCCTTTTGGATTACAACTTCCAGAATCCCCCAGCCAGCATGGCCATGGATGGAGCTAGTCTCCCTCCCCTCAGAAATATAGTTTCCAAGCTCTAAATATTTGCTTATGTACTAACTCTGAAACATCTGGAGGGGAAGGACAGATATTTCAAAAAAACAAAAAACAAACAAACAAACAAAAACAAAGGGAGACATGCCCCAGCAACGTTGTATTGAAAAACTACAAATCCTTCTGGCCTTTATATACTTGCATTTGAATGCATTAAGAGTTCCTAGACTGTTTTACAGAACAGGAAAACTGATGAAGGGACAGAGAGCACATATACACCACTGTTAATATTTTTCCCCCATATGGAGCTACAATCACAGAAGCAGATCCTTGGCAAGGTGCCCGTCATGGCCCTGTTTGTGTGTGAGCAGCTCCACAAGCAATCACCTTGCCAAATAACTATTTCTGCAACTGCAGCTCTGCAAGCAGCAAATACCAACAGGACACCGACCCTTTGCTTTTACACAGAAGCATTTCAAGTAAATGGTTGTACAAAATGATATGACGCTTCCTCTAGGTCACAGACACGCACTACTGTCTTTGCCAGCTGAAAGCATTTCACAGAGGTTTCTGGTAGAGGTTTACCTCAGGCTTGCTTCTAAAGATTTGTGCAAAGATCACTAAGCTAAGAGCCTTTTGTAGCCAAAATGACAATAAGAGGGCATCCATAGGCTAAACTAGACAAGATTCAGGAACCATTTCCTACCTTTTCCTCTCCTGCTGAAATACAGCTGAGAGATGGTGTGCTGTAAATTTGGTTAGGGAAGCAGTGGTAGAGTAGAGGAGTATTTGAGTCCTCCTGTTTATTAAAACCAATCTCTTCTCCTAAGCTTCCACTACCTTCTAAGTCCCTCCAGTTTCATCTGTTCCAAACTTTTACACATAGTCACAAGGACCAGAAACTTATTTTCAAAATGAAAAACCACTGCAAACAACTAAATAGATAAAAGAATACATCAGTCTGTGTTCAAAAGACAGCAAAACAGAGTGGTACATGGATGAGGTACTACTCCTCAAGCAGAAAGTTACTTAAAAGAGCTCAAATTCACTCCCCAAACTCAATTAGTTTCCATCTCATCATAGCTCACCTGAGTTCTTTTGAAGCAAACTGATTTGGGCATGGAAGAAACCGTCATCTTCTTCAAGTCCTCATCCATGATGTCTAATGCAAGGGATTTCCTGACCTTCTTAATGGGACTCCTATGGAGCTGTAGAGACAAGAGAAGAATATTTAACCTCTAACAAAAAGCAAAGGGAAAAAATGATTTGTGAGCTAAAGCCATCTTAAATGATAGGAAACTGTTGTGAAGGTTGGAACATTTAGATATCAATAAGTCATAGGGAATGAAGGTCTATACAGTGGTGCCTCACAAGATGGGTGCTCCGTTTAACGACGAATCCACATTACGAGGAGGTTTTCGCGATCGCAAAATGACGTTTTGAATGGGGGAATTGCGCTGCGCGATTATCGGTTCCCTGTTTCGGGAACCGATTTTCGCTTCCCGATGATCAAAACAGCTGATCGTCGGGTTTTCAAAATGGCCGCTGGGTGCTCAAAATGGCTCCCCGCTGTGTTTAGGAGCCATTTTTTGCTGCACAGGCACCCGAAAATGGCCACCCCTATGGAGGATCTTCGGTGGACAGTGAGTTCTTAGGCGACTGGAACACATTGACCAGGTTTTAATGTTTCAATGGCTTTTTTATTTTTGCTTTATGAAGTTTTCGTTCTACAGCGATTTCGCTGGAATGAATTAACGTAATGTGAGGCACCACTGTAATTTATTAATTTTAAATGACAGGGAACTTCTGTGAAGACTAGAACATTCAGGTATCAATGTGTGGGGAATGATTGTAGCTGAATCATTATGGGGAATGACTGTAGCTGAATAAACTGGTGGCAGATGCCAATGAAAATCCTTCCACACAAGTGTTGGACATACAAAGTCACCACATTAGCGAGTATGTCGTCTTTTGCAGCTCAGTATTTAAGGAACAGAAAATGGCAGAAACACAGCCATGGCCTACTCTTGATGGCATCACTGAGCTCAGATCAAAACAAACCCTTCCAGTACAAAGAGGGGCCATGCAGAGATGGCCAGTTCCAAAATCAGCTCCTACAGATGGATCGACTTCAGCAAAGCCATTCACTTTCAGTGCTGTTCTACCAACAAAGCTCTCCTCAGGAGAGAGCCCACACTGACCTCAGCATTCACTTTCAATGCTGTTCTACCCACAAAGCTCTCCTCAGGAGAGAGCCCACACCAATCATCCTACTTCTTTTTACATTTTGTGTAAGAGGTTGCTTTTGCTTCATATTCCTCTAAATTCTAGATGCATTTCCATACTTCTAAAAGGATTCTGACACTAACTTATACGTGGGAGACTGGAAGCGGTAGCGGTATTACGAATCTGGTTGTGGTCACCTGAAATATCCATGCAAGGTGAGGAAGTTTAAAATTTGGCCCAACTCATTCAATGGTCAATGGGGGTCAATGGTAAAAGATCCCTGTAAACCCTGTTTATTTCATAATTACAGTCGTGCCCCATTTTACGATCGCCCTGCATGACGAAACCGCATTACGACGACGCTTTTGCGATCGCAAAACGATGGTCTGAATAGGGTTTTTTTTCGCTTTGCGATGATCGGCTCCCTGCTTTGGGAACCGATTCTTCGCAAAACAACGATTTGCAGACAGCTGACCGGCAGTTTCAAAATGGCCGCCAGGTAAATAAAATGGCTCCCCGCTGTTTTCTGGGACGGATTCCTCACTGCACAGGCACTGAAAATGGCCACCCTATGGAGGATCTTCGCTGGACGGTGAGTTTCCAGCCCATTGGAATGCATTGAAGGGGTTTTAATGCGTTTCAATTGGCTTTTTATTTTCACATTACGACGTTTTCGTTCTACAGCAATTTCACTGGAACGAATTAACGTCGTAATGCGAGGCACCACTGTAACTAAGTATGGAACTAGCACTGCTAATTCAGCAAGTTACTCACTTTCCGTTTTTAACATTAGCGACAATGAACTGACTTCCCAACTCCTTTCTAACACTTTACAAAATAACTTTCAAACTTAGCCTTTCAAGGACTGCTTCTGACTGGCTGGGACTCCACCTTCCTGCTCCTCAAGAAAATGCAGTCCTCAAGAGAAAAAGGCCCAGTCCTTATGTACAACATTGTGGGCCTCCACAACAGGAATATCGATATGAGAAGAGCTTGCTAAAGGTAAAAGTCGAAGGCTCCAGTTCCTTGATTCATGCAATAGATCACAGCATGAGCAGTTGGAATTTTTTTCCCCTCCCTTGGGCAGAGAGGAAGTTGGGCTGCCAATGCATAGATTTTCATTTGCACAACAAGAGATCTGGGAATCCAGCACTCATGTGCCATCAGAGCATCCTGCTTCACCAGCACCCAGTAGGGTTCCAGCCTAAATTACTAATACAGCACATTAACCCTCTAACGTGAAACGTATACCAAAGAACCAATTACTAATACAGCACAGTAACCCTCTAACGTGAAACGTATACCAAAGCCATTTATTTTGGGAAATAAAGGATTTGTGTTTTCGAAAGGGGATGGGGAACACATTGTTAGAGAGGAACAGTCTGGCTGTCCCAGATTCTTAATGGTCTTAAACCCAGTAATGGCTTGGCCTGATTTTGCAGAACTCAAGGATGATTTAAAGAAGAAAGTACACAGTAAGTATTCTAAATAAGATGCTTACCCCCTGTTTTCTCTTCTGTTTCTCTGGCTTCATATCATCTTCTATAATCAGCTCAATGCCGGTCTCACTTCTTAGTACCTCTTTTAAATCCTCTTCCAGACTAGGGGTTTGTGGCTGTAATTCAGGACGCAGAAGAAAATATGTATGAAGTGGTCAGTAGCACAGTGTTGTTAAATAGATCAACAGCATAGCAGTATTTTGTTCTCTGAGTTTATGAAATTTTATTTTTTGGACTAGAACTCTCAAAATCCCCCAACTAGCATCCTTCTGCCTGATCGATTCCAGGAGCTCTGTAAAGTAATTCTTATTTATTTAAAATATTTTAAACCCATCTTTCTCCTCAAATAGGACCCAAGGGTGGCTTATATCATTAAAAAGCAATATTTAATGTTAAATACAGTAAGTATGCAAATACTATAAAGGATCAAAGAAATGCCTCACTAAAAAACAGTAAACATAAGTAACACCAAAACACATTCAAAGCAGTAAGGTACAACAATCCATTTTAAAAAAACCACTCAGGCTGTCAGTCATTCAGGCAAAGCTTGCCTAAAGAGAAAGATCTTCGCCTGCTTGCGGTAGAACAGCAAAGATGGGGCTAGCCTGGCCTCCTGTGAGAGGAAGTTCCAAAGTCTGGTGGCAGCAACAGAGAAGGCCCTCTCCCATTTCCCTACCACACACCTATGAAGGCAATGGGATTGAGAAAGGACTCTCCTGATTATCTTAACAGCTGGGCAGGCTCATACAGACAGGCATGGTCCTTGAGATACCTTGGATCCAAGCTATATGGACTCTTCCAAGGTCTCTGTTATATGAACTAGGCACAGGAACTATAGCAACTAAATAAACCTCTGGAGATAACAGGCCCATAAAGGAAGATGCGGTCCTTGAGATAGCTTGGATCCAAGCTATTTAGACTCTTCCAAGGTCTCTGTTTGAGGGACGTGGTGGCGCTGTGGGCTAAACCGCAGAAGCCTGTGCTGCAGGGTCAGAAGACCAAGCAGTCGTAAGATCGAATCCACGCGGCAAAGTGAGCGCCCATCGCTTGTCCCAGCTCCCGCCAACCTAGCGGTTCGAAAGCATGCAAATGCAGGTAGATATATAGGGACCACCTCGGTGGGAAGGTAACAGCACTCCGTGTCTACGTGCCACTGGCCATGTGACCACGGAAGAATGTCTTCAGATAAAACGTTGGCTCTATGGCTTGGAAACGGGGATGAGCACCGCCCCCTAGAGTCGAACACGACTGGACAAAAATTGTCAGGGGGAACCTTTACCTTTTACCTAAGGTCTGTTATATGAACTAACACAAAAAATATAGCAACTAAATAAACCTCTGGAGATAAACCCCGCTTCAGCATAAAGACACATAGAGGAAACTTCTGGGGCCATGATGATAGCAGACTCTTGTCTGCAGCAGCTGTCGTGACTCTAAAACAGGCTCTTGCATCTAATTTCCAAACCCCTCTGTAAATGCTCAGGTCACTTCTCTGGCAAAGCCATTTGGCCCTTCCCAAAGAGTCCACTGGGCAGCAGAGGGATGATGGGAATTTTGTTGAGGATTTCTAATTGTTCATAGCACTGGAAATACACAAAAACACTACGTACATAGGAAAGATTAGTGAAGGGGCTTTGGTACATACCAAAGGCCTCATTGGGCCATACTTCTCTAGAGCATTCTTGAAAGGTGTAGGTGTGTGAGGTGTATTGTCTGCTATGTATTTCTGATCAGGTGTCACAAATCTGAAAGTACAAAAGAAGAAGGAAAAATTATGGATTGCCAGTTGAACACTGGGAACAGATAAACAGCTAAGGCATTGACTGAAACAAGGCAATTTTCTTAGGGTACTGCGGGAGTGAGTTAAAAAGAGAACATATTTGACTCGTCCCATGATAAGAGCCATTATTGGAAGAGGTTCATGACCTCAAACAGCCAGGAAACTCAAGGGATTTTTTATTTATTTTATTCATTTATGGATGACCTTAGGCTTCAAAAGATTGTCCCATGATAAGAGCCATTATTGGGGTTCATGACCCCAAACAGCCAGGAAACTCATGGGATTTTTATTTATTTTAATTATTTATGGATGACCTTAGGCTTCAAAAGATTGTTGTGATGATAAAACTGGCAGAAAAAAAGCACTGTTTTCTACCTGGAGTTCAATATATGGTATAAATATAGCCCCACATATATAGAAGGCTGCTGTTCACTCATGCCCTCCACGCTTCTAGTTTGCTCATGGGAAAGGTCAGTGTACACCTGTTTGTCCTGCTGCCAATACTGCATGCTCCGTTAGCAACGCTCCTGACTATTTGCATATCTGGAACACCTCCAGAGGGGCACTTTGGCAAATCCCAAACCTGGAGGCTACCTGACACAGCTCCCAAACTCTACATGCGTTCCTCAAAGCTCACTGCCTGCCCGTAGCCCTCTAATGCTGCCAAAGGGATGAGCGCCAGGCAGCATACACAGCAGTGTCAGGAGTGCAACTTATAAACAAAGTTCCACAGTCACTGCTGTTATTTTAGCCTGCACTCCCATAATCCTACACCTGATATGAAGACTCGGGCTTTCTGGGAGTTGTAGTCCAACAACTAACTTCCTCAAGCTCAAATCTTTAGTGCTTTGGCAGCGCTGTTCAAGATATTGGAAGACCCACCACTGATGTATTCTATTCTTCTAAGTGGAAGAGTCAGTGGGGCTTATAGAGGTCCCTCCTTTACATCCACAACTTATCTTCACTTTTACAAACAACTCCACCCACTAATTACTCTACCCAGTCAGATCACTGCAAAGCCCAGATGTTTCTGGTTGCAGGAGACCTGCTGGGATGAGAAGGACTGCATGGGACTTACGCAGAGTTCTTCTGGAGCAACGGGGTCTTGTCTCTGTGTAGCGGGGTAGTCACAATCACCTTCTGGCTGCACACAGGTGTGGAAGTTGAAGAGGGGTTCTCAAGATCTAGAGTGTCCTGTTTGGTCCAGAAGTTCAGGAACTGACAAATAAAGGCGATTTTAAGTAAGGAAGTGAAAACAATAACAATCACCATGGATAAGAAAAAAAGCTCAGAAAGAGGCTTGATTAACATTATGTAAGGGATAGATTGCTTTAAAAATTCTTCTTGGTACAGGAAGAAAATACAGGAAAAGCCAGGTTAAGAACCACTGATGTAAGGGATGGATTGCTTTAAAAATTCTTCTTAGTACAAGAAGAAAATACAGGAAAAGCCAAAGTACTTCTCAAATGATACAAGTGACGAAAAACAGGATTCTAATTTCACTCTGTCACTTCAAAAGAGGCAAGAACTTTTTTTAAACAGCTGGAAATTAGATGTTCACTAGAAGGGTTTATTTTGTTCTATTTTTTATTTTATTAAACTAAAAATACAAACATAAAGAAAAAAACATAAAAAATATAATTTAAAAAAAAACCAAACACAAACAATACAATGATACATAATGTGCTTCCCTCAACTGGGAGAATCTGGAGATACAACCAATTATTCCTCCAATTATGGAGCCCCATTCCCCATCCAAAACCCTCACTAGAAGGGTTAAGGCTAGAGTGATGGGCTAGAGCAATAGCCTGAAGACAACAGTTCCTGCACCTATGCAGCCCCTACACATGAAAGAAAACCATGGCTATATATCATGTCCTGCATCGAGCAGGGGGTTGACTCAATGGCCTTATAGGCCTCTTCCAACTTAATTATTCTATGATTTTATGTCCTGTATCAGAGGCAAAATATCTTGGTATATCAGTAGTTTGAAAGCATGACACACCAGGTGCAGAACATCCACCCCGGGCCTGAAGGTTTTCCATAGGCAATTATTTACTGTGAGAACAGTATCTAGATAGGGCTTTGGTCTGACCTAGCATGGCTCTTCTTGTGCACAGGAGACGATCTCAGTCTGAGTTACCACCCACTGGCAGCTTTGGTCCCACGTACCTGGGATGGCGAGAATGGCAACGTCTTGACAGGGGTGCTCTTGACTGGGGTGCTTTTTGGCGTCATGCTGTTATAGGAGTCCAGGAACGAGACACTGGTATTGGTGCCCCCTTCGGAAACAGGCGACAGGCTGACCTTCCTCTTCTTCTGACGCTTCAGGACCGATGGCGGTGTGCCAAAGCTCATGTCTGTGCAGGGGGAGATGGGGATGAGCTCACCCCTGCTGCCTTTGCTCAAATCTGAAATGGTGTGGCCATCCAAACGGTACTCTGTTACGTTTTGCGAGGAAGAGTAGGGCTTGATGGACGGCGGCCTATCTGGACTGTCATTGTTACTTGCCGTTGCAGATAGATCGTCAGGCAGGTCAAACTGAGAGAGATCACACCAACCATCTGGGTCCTGCCAGAACAGGAACATTCAGAAGACAGCAAGTGTATAACTTGAGACAAAGAAAGCTACAAGAGGAAGGGAAATACTGTAGGTAGCACAATAACTCAGTGCCAATACTTCCATTATATTGAACTATTATGCATCAAATCCACAGCCTCTTTCTGAAATCTGAATTGCTATGTACCAGCTTTCCCCAGCCTGGATCCCTTCAGATGTTTTGGACTGCAACCTGTCATTAGCCATCCTGACTAGAGATTATGTAAACTAAAGTCCAACTAGGGATGGGCACTTGATCTGCGGGACTCATTGACAAACCTGGCTGAAGCAGAACCGGTGACTTGGACTTGAATTGTGACTCAGTAACCAATCAAACCCTCCCTTTTGTTCTGGGAGAAAAACTTACTTTTAATAGGGACTTGGACTTAGTACCAAAGACTCAGTCTCAGGACCAGGTACCAAAGACTCGGACCCAAAGACTTGCCAACATCCCCAAATCCAACTCACTTGGCAGGTCACAGGTAGGGAAGGCTGCTCTGTACAGCCTTGATAATATTAATGGACCTGTCTCACATGACTGCTCTTAAAGGAGAGAATAATTACCAAGGGTTTTTTTTTCTCTTCTAAATATGTATGTTTGCCTGTATAAATACCAACCTTAGTTAGCAATTCATGATAGAATGAAGACCTGCAACAGTTTGGTTTACATCCGGGGTTGCCTGGCTGGCTGGCAGTCAGTGATGCGCCCCTTCCCAGCTGCCTGCCTCCGAGCCCTCGCTGGCTGGAGACAGCCGTGAGACCTGCAACGGTTTGGTTTACATACAGCATTTGCCACATTCACACCAAGACTTCCATAGGTATGTAACAGCAACATGCTGTTCAGTCAGTTATGACTTATGGCGATCACTTGCAGGGTTTTCTAGATAGAGAGCACTCAGAAGTGGCTTACCATTCTTTTCTGCAGGGGATGCCCTGGAATTATGCAGGTTGCCGAAAACTATACAGTTTGAGATCTTTTCCCCGGAGGCATAGTGGGGAATCAAACTCCCAACCTCTGGTATCTAACTCACTGAGCTTTCCAGCCGGCTACTTCCACAAGTACATTGCACTAAATAAAATCTTTACAGTAAGACAGCTTCAATTCACAACATCTTCACTAAGACAAAAACCCTTTATTTTGCATAGAAAAACAGAAATGTTTTGTTTCACTTCCAGCTTTCAACATATACTAGCAATATAAGCCTAAAAACCATGAATACTAAACGCCAATAGTAAATTACTATGTTGTAGGGGAGTGGGATAAAAATTAAGACAACTCCCTGCAAATATCACAGTAGAGCCATTGATGAGAAATACAGTGGTGCCTCACATAACGATCGCTCCATTTAGCGATGAAATCGCTTTGCAATGGACTTTTTGCCATCGCAAGAGCGATCGCTTTGCGATGGCCCCTATGGGGAAAATTCGCTTTGCGATTATCGCGGGGGAGCGCTCCCCCACGATCATCGCAAAGGCCCTGACGGTCAGCTGTTCCAAAAAACGGGCTTTGCGGTGCTCGGGGGGAAGCGCTTGGGAGGAGGAAGGGAACCGATCATCGCAAAGCAATGCTTTTTTAAACAGCTGATCGGCAGTTTCAAAATGGCTGCCCGCTGTTTTCTGGGACGGATTCCTCGTTTAACAGGCAGCCAAAATGGACGCCCCTATGGAGGATCTTCGCTGAACGGTGATTCCCCCCCCCCATAGGAACGCATTAAATGGAGCTTAATGCGTTCCTATGGATTTTTTTGCCTCGCATAGCGAGGAATCCGGATAGCAATGATTTTTTTAGAGTGGATTAACGTTGCTATGCGGGGCACCACTGTATAACCACATGCAGTCTCACCACCCTTAAATATATTAGGGATAAATACAACCACATGCAGTCTCGCCACCCTTAAATATATTAGGGATAAATACACCAATCCATTTCTTACAGATTCAATCATGTCCAGAGCTTCTGTAATGGCGGGGAATGCAGGGGTGCACATGAAACTGCCTGCTTCCACCACCCACGTGTAGAATGAGGAATTGTCTTCAAGGGCATCATCAGGCGCTGTGCTTTCTGAGGGTTCTCCGACATCATCCTCTGCCAGGCTTTCAGGGGGCTGCTCTGAAGGCAGCATCTGCAACCCAACTGGCTCTTCATCCGTGGCTCTCTCTTCTTTAACTTCCAAGGTCTCAACAGGCCAACTAGTTAAAGTTTGCTGTGGAAGGCAGATGAGGATTTGCATCAGTAGCAAAGAACAAAAACGAAAAGTCAAGTTGTCCGCTATACTCAGAGAACAGCATGGTTGCAAAGCCTAGCAACAGAACAATGAGGGGAGCTTTTGGACCTAACAAAGTTACTGATTTCCCAAGAAGCCCAAGTCAGGATGGCCAAGGGTATGGAGTCATGGGAGTTGTAGACCAAAACATCAGAGGAGCCAAAAAAGTTTCCCAACCTCCTTATCCAGTGAGGCATGAAGAAGGTCAAAGCTACTTAACACAACTAAGCCAAGGTTTGCTGAGATTTCATTCTGCAAAGAAGATTCACAGAGGAAGAACATACTTCTCAGTGTTCCCCAAACTCGTACCCCAGACATGATGGGACGTATCTGAAGAACTCTAGGTGAGGAAAGCAGTTTCCAAAGTATCTATTGTTTCAAATGAAGTAATCCATTTCTTTGTTTTCTCTATGAAATGCGTTTCTCCACAGCAAAACTTTGCTTGCTTAGAATTATCCAATTCTACCACCTTTCCCCACAATCATGCTTGAAAAGCTAGACCCTGCTGGATCACAATATGCAAAGTATATCTCCTACTATGGAACAGTTTCATGCTAATGAAGAAAGCAGATCTGCAGTTGGTGGGCCTAAACCAATACCTGCACTACAAAGAATACTATCATCTTTCCTTAAAAGCCCTATTTCACTCTTTGATACATCGATCAAAACAAATAGTTTTGCAAAATGTCATACAGTTGTAAAATTGAAGCTTCCAACATTATGTATACGTAGCATACAAAAAGTGAATGGATTTATTTAAGATTGCACTGAGTATTGTGACATTTCCTCAGCTGGAAGGCTGCAAAACAAAATGTGTTTTGTAAGATACTACAGCTACTATATTTCCTAGGCTGCGCATGATCATGGAGGCAGAGAAAATCTTGCAATACCTGGTTTTCACCTTCCTGTACATTTTGGCTTTCCTTGCCTTCTACCTCTACCAGCAGGTAAAGCGGCTTGGATTCTTTCGCTTCATTAAGAAATCCACCTGTGTCCACTTTCCTTTTGATTGTAGAATTCCAATGGTTTTTCACAGCATTGTCAGTCCTGTAGAACCAGTGATTGAAAGAGGCATATGTGCATCAAAGACCAATCACAAAAGGAGAAAAAGAGGCCTACAATTCTTCTGCTCAAGTAGTCCAAGGAGAGACCCTTAAACAGAGTAACAAGCCTACCTTCCAGGCAGCAATTTTGCAATCTCAGCCCATCGGTTCCCAAGAACTTTGTGAGCCTCATAAATTATATGGTCTTCCTCCTCTGTCCAGGATGACTTTTTCACCTCAGGGTTCAGATGGTTGTGCCAGCGCTCCCGACACTGTTTCCCCAGCCGGCCCTTCAAGTGTTTAGCGATGAGTGTCCATTGTTTTGTGCCATATTTTTTTACCAGTTCAATGACCTGGTGACAAAAATAAAATTATAATTTGTCCTTCACATCCAGCAGATGTATAAAGAATTGGTGGATATTGTTATCATGGACAGTTTGCCATTCTGCCTCAATTCTAGCAACTCAGATTAGGTTAGGATTCTCCTATGTCTTGCCATTGATATGACGCCCAAGGCCAGCACAAGGTGGATCAGGTCTACAAATATGCTACACCCTTTCTGTTTTTCTCTTTCTCTGTGTTCATATTATGGAACTCTGCAAGTAATGGAGATGAGGCTAAGCAGGCTCTCCACCTAATGCACTTAATTCAGCTGGATATATCCATGGAGCCTATGCACTTATGTGAAGGGCTCCCTTGATGAACAAATCAAGAACCTTGGAAAAATAAAGCACCCAGCTAGATGGAGAAAGCATCCTAGACACACTGCAATACATGTGTAGAATCCATACAGACATTGGTAGTTCATGTTAAAGAAAACAGCTGTTAGTGTCAATTAGCCAAATAAATAAGTAAACAGTACAAGCCTAGATAGGTTTACTCAGAAATTAAGCCCCACAGAGTTCAATGTGACTTATTCCTAAATAAGCATATGCAATACTCTATCCCAAAAAAAAGAGCAACAGCAATTATTAGGAGAGAATGAGGGTCTATATATTTTGAGCAACAGCAATTAAAGAATTAGGAGAGAATGAGGGTCTATATATTTTCCAAGGGGACTATTTAAGAAGCAAGTCAGTGCCTTAGCTGAAAAATACACAACTTGAGAACCACTATTACAGGGGATATAAATCCTCATTTTCACAAATAGCAGCAAACTCCGCTATGTCTTTGAAATAACTGAGAACTGAACTAGTGAGAGTTTGGATCCTATGCCCAAGTATCGTAATATCTGCATACTGTATTCTTAAGCAGTTGGCGTCTCTGTAATTTCCACTCAAGTCTATCATTGCCATAATGCAATGATATGCAAAGATTTCATTGCCATTCAAAACATGGAGGTATTCTACTTGCAGAATAGACTCTATTAATGCAAAAATGATGACATTTTGGATTCTTCACCCATACAAGTAAACAATAAGTTACCTTCTGATCTTCTTGTTGAGTCCATGGACCTTTAACCAGAACAGGATTTAGCACCCTTAGCCAGCGGTATTGACACTGCTGTTCTGTGCGATTCTATTAAAAAATTTAAATAGGCACAAGTTAAATAGGAACATTTCTTGGGTAGACAATGAGAAAAGCCAAAGGCGACAGCAATAAACTACCTTATTCAACTCATAACTTTGCCTTCCTAACTCAGCTTCCCATTGTCTCTGTTTATAGAAAAACATGCACACACAAGATGACATCAAGAAAACTTACTCATCTTGAAAAAAAAACCCCTCAACTTACAGGAAAGTGACTTGCTAGGAACTTCCAATCATGTCCATACTGTGACACCAACGAATTCAGCAGCTCATCCTGAAAAAACATTATTCAGTCAGATTATTCACACATACAGACTGCATCACAACATGCTGTTTGAAACAGTTTCTCTAATATCCAAACAGAGCTGTGTATTACTGCACTATCAAATGCCACAGCAAATCTGAGGAACCTTTTGTACACGCTTTCAACCTAACTCCTACAATATCTTATCAATGGCCACACTGCTTGGAATTCACAGGGCAAAACACTTTCCTTATTTGCTGTTTTTCTATCTTGCCCATTTACAAAATATGTCTCAGAAGAGCACAGTGGCAATGGGAGCTACAGTCCAACAACATCTGGAGAACCACTCAATCCCCAGCCTGCAATATGGGTTTCTCCAGGTAGCAAATGCTGGATGGCTTCAAGGAGCTTCCAAGCATCTTCTGCCAAAGGCTGGTCTTGCTTAGACTCTAATCATATATTCCTCCATTTTCTTCTCCATGATTCATTCACACACGATGTACCTCTTCCCGCGACCATTTGACTTTACATCTGTTATCCCGTCGCTCCTGGACATCTGAATCCTGAGAATGCAGCTCATCTTCTGCTTCACTATTGCAAGCAATGTTTAAGGAAAAGACAGAGAAAGAAGACAGCGTTAGTCTGATACCGAATGATCTAAACCAGGGGTCTCCAAACTTTTCAGCATGAGGACCACACCATATACTATATTTCACACATTTTTGAGAGCCAAAGGAACACACACACATATGCAGACACAGGCTGAAGGGAACCGACCTGAGCCTGCAGTGTTCACTGGGCTGGATAAAAAGCCAAGCCAGGCCAGATGTGGCCCGCAAGCTGTAGTTTGGAGACCCCTGATCTAAACCACTGGCTCTGTTCATTCTGTCTTGTTTAGCCAAAAGGGTTTCAGTCAGCCAAATTACACTAGAGGACAATTATGCCAGATTATGTGATCTTGACCATGCATCTATGGTGTTATGTAATTTTAGGTACCCCCAAGGAAATTTTTCGGGACGGCATACTAGGCAGTTAAGTGTGCATAATAGGATTGCTGCCTTTGTTTTTTGCAGCAAAAACACAAGAAGGAATAGATAGCCATGGCAGCAGGAGAGGAAGAATCACAAGTTACCTTCATAATGTACTTTTAGATGTACCCATCCTATTAGCAAATCCAGCAGCAGCCCTCAACTTGTGAAGTGTGGAGTGACTGCAAGCCCCATCAGCCCTACCTAGCTGCACACTCAATGGGAAGGAATACTGGGAATACAGTACTTTGCCCAGCCTTGCCCTAGGGGCTCATCAACAAAGCCCACAGAGTGGAATGCATTTTTACTACAACTAACTTAAGAGCTGCCTAGTCTTTCAGATGGGAGTGGAGTATAAAGCCAGCTGAGTAAGTAAAACTTGCACATGATCCACACCAGCTAGTGGCTGGGTGGGAAAGACCTTACCTAAATCAATAATTCAACCAGGATATACATGCATCTAACAAACACTTCTTTTACTGTGCATTTTCAACAGACCCCTGGGCAGTATTTAGGTATAAGAAGTGCTAGCCTCAAGGTTGTCCATACGGTCTTTAACACAGCATTAAAGAAGTCTGAATAGGCACAGTAATTTCTTAACTGATATGCCTACTGCTTTTTAAGCGCCTTCCAGGCAATAAACGGAACCTGGTCCCCAGAATTCAGCGATTATCAGGCTTATGACCTGCATCACTGTCACCAGAGCCCATTAACAGAGGCGAGGTAGCCTGAATGGAATCAGTTCTGATAGCAATTACCCCGTTTCCAACCAAGGTCAATTACATAATGGAGCCGCCCTTCTTATTAAAAATATCCACATGATAATAAATAAATAAACAAATAAATAAATGGATCAGTAATGGCAGAAGAATAAAGGGAGGAACCTTCTTTCCTTTTCCTTCCCCCACCCATCTTTTGGCGCAAAAGCTATCTGGTTCCTGTGCCCTTCCAAACAATTCACGCGGGCCATTTTTAAGCACCTTGCAAATTATGGCAGTTTCCCAAATCTCCTTCACATATTAACCATCCAGGGCGTTATTTGCTACGTCTTATTCCTCTGCGTGCTTCCACCACGGTGGGGGATGGGTCAATGGAAGAGAAAAAAAGGGACTTCATTCTCTTTTAGGGGGGGGGAGAGCCTATTTTCTCGGAAGGCGGCAGAAGAACGATTCCCGCCGCCTCTCTTCTTTGCAATCAAATCCTAAGGTGCTTCTTCCCCCAAAAGGTGCAGCATTTGAACCCAATGCATGCAATACAACTCACCGGCCAACTTTGCGGGACACCATGTCCTTTCCTGAATGAGCACCATCCGAGAGCCGAAACGGGACAAAAAAATAAAAATAGGATCTCCCGGAGAAGGAAGAGGCAGCTGATTTTTTTGCAGCAGCCACCGCCACAGCGGGCGGGATGCTGCTTTTAAAAAGCACCCCCTCCTCTCCCGAAGGAGCGCGCGCCAAGCTCCGTTCCTTTTGCAGCAGCCAACCCGCTCGCTCGCTCGCGCCCGCCCGGGACACTAGAAGGCACTTTCCTATCTCGCGCCAACTCCACCCCAGCCAGCCACCTTTTCCGGCGTCATGACGTTACGTACGCGGGAGGGACGAGAAACATTGTATTATTGGACTAGAAGAGGGAAGGGAAAGGAGGTGGGGGAGGGAAGTGGCGCGCGCGGGCAAATTTGCAGTCCCCGAAGGGCGCTCGCGCTGCCCAGGTTCAAGCAAGGCCTCATGAATTAGCAGCACGTCTTACAGCAACACTATATGGAAACGTGAAAATAAGAGTATTTCAACCCGGTACGATCTGGTTCTCCTTTTAAAAAAGGGCCATTTATTTGGTTTAAAAATTCATCCTCTAAAAGAGCGCCCCTGGCTTTTTCCTTCTTCGATTAGTGCATTCCGGCTTTTTAAATATTTGATTTATTTTCTCTTTTTTTGCCCCTTCAGAAAAAATACGTACAGTATCTGTGTGCAAGCATTCAAACACCGAAGGATTTCTTTAGGGCTTGTCGATAAGGTATTTTAATTTACTGTACTATTTATTACATTCCTATATTCCAGCCTTCTTCCAGCAGGTTAGAAGGGCGTGCAGGATGTGCCCTTTCGGGTTCTTAGGGTGGCATGTGAAGTCCTGGGTTCAAATGTCCACTCATCCTGGCATTTAACTTTTATTTCTCAACTTACCCTACTTCTCAGGGTTGTTGTAACGACATAATGGGAGTGGGAAAATAGGGCTATGTGTGCTCCCTTGAGCTTCTTGGAAGGAAAAACCCAGAATAAGAATGATTCAGTATATATATTTTTTCTGCAAAAATTCCCAAAATGGCTTTGAAACAGTAAAATAAATAAAATAACATTCTTTAAAGCTATATTGGTGCTGGGATGCTATTTAGGGAGAAGAGAAAATACAAGAATAATCTGCAACAGGACAACACAGAGAGAAACATAGCACCGCTTTTGGGAATGGTAGCCCTGTTGATCAGTGCAGGTGTATCAACAAGAGGCAGCAAAGCAAAGCAAAAACAAAAGGAAGAGAAAAATATTGTGGTACCTTTAAGACTAACTGCTATATTTTAATGTGAGCTTTCCTAGGAAAATGTATGAGTCCTCAGACATGAGAATACAGAGACTATATGGCAAAACATTCTTATGTCTGAGGAAGTGGGCTTTTTTTCTATGCAAGCTCACATTAAAACATAGCAATTAGTTTTTAAATTGCCACTTGTCTTTATTACTTTTGGTTTTGTTTCGTGATTCTTATTGATAACATCACTTGTCAACTCGCTCCTAGTTAAAATCAGACTGTATTGTCAGTGATTTAGAGCAGTGGTTCTTAACCTTTGTTACTTGGATGCTTTTGAACTGCAACTCCCAGAAACCCCAGTCAGGACAGCTGGTGGTGAAGGCTTCTGGGAGTTGCAGTCCAAAAGTCCTGAGTAACCCAAGGTTAAGAACCAGTGATTTAGAGGGTTTTTTTTAAATGAAGAATGATCCTTTCTTTTCAGGAGGCTTTAATGGTGAGTCTGTACTTTGGTTACACATAAGCTCCCTTCACCCTGATACAGTGGTGCCTCGCTAGACAGTTACCCCTTCATGACAGTTTTTTCGCTAGGCATTGACTTTTTGCGATCGCTATAGCGATTCGCAAAACAGTGATTCCTATGGGGGAATTTCGCTGGACAATCTTTGGTCCCTGCTTCGCAATCCAATTTTCGCCAGACAACGATTTTGACAGCTCCCTCCGTGCTCGCAAAATGGATGTTTTCGGGACCTAAGCTTCACAAGACAGCTTCATGACAGTTTTTTCGCTAGGCATTGACTTTTTGCGATCGCTATAGCGATTCGCAAAACAGTGATTCCTATGGGGGAATTTCGCTGGACAATCTTTGGTCCCTGCTTCGCAATCCAATTTTCGCCAGACAACGATTTTGACAGCTCCCTCCGTGCTCGCAAAATGGATGTTTTCGGGACCTAAGCTTCACAAGACAGCTATTTAAACAGCTGATCGGTGGTTCGCAAAGCGACTTTCCTATGGCCGATCTTCGCTAGACAATGACTATTCTTCCCCATTGGAACGCATTAAACAGGTTGCAATGCATTCCAATGGGGAAATGCTTTTTGCTAGATGATTATTTCGCTAAACAGCGATTTCAGTGGAACGGATTATCATTGTCTAGCGAGGCACCACTACCATTAAGCAAAGTGAAGCGGCTGTCTCAGGCAGCAAAATGTGGATCAACTGTTTATTTTGTTACTATGTCATTTTCAGAGACAAGGACAGGAAGAAGTGCTTATGGTATTTTCTTTCTCATGTGACAAAATAACTGCACTTAGAGCTGAATTGGTGGACATGTCCTTTTGCTATTCTGCCTCAGGCAGCAAATTATCTTGAGTCAGCCCTCCAGAGAAGCATCCTACTTTTAAAAAGTGAAAAACAACAACAGCAGAGATAGGGATGTTGGAACCAGATGCTGTGGCAAACCCAAAAGCCAGCCATGGTTCAAAGATCCTTTACACGTGTGTATCCAAACAAGTGAGTTCATACATGTACTCTGAGAGCATATCTGGTAAGACTATTCTGTCTTGTATCAGACAAACAGCCCAGTTTCTACAGGAAAACAAGAGAGACTCAAATCCAACATCAGATATGGCAATATTCAAAAGACAGTAGGGGAACGTTTCAATCTCCTTGATCACTCTTGTCTCAGAGGTCAAGGGGAAATTCTGTGATCAAAAGAATGCCAAAAGTTTTGAAGTTAAAAAAAAAAAAACAGTTCATCAGTGATAAGATCTTTTTATCTATATGTGTCAATCATGCCATCAATGCAAGAAAGTGTGTGACTACAACATTACTGTTGGCTAATAGCCACCGGAGGGCCTGCCGTGCTCTGGTCCATGGGGGTCACGAAGAGTTGGACACAACGACTAAACAACAATAGCCATAGTGGGATTCCCAGCGTGGTGTAGTGGATAGAGTGACAGACTAGGACTCCGGAGAACAGGGTTTGGATCTCCACTTGGCCATGGAAACTCACTGACGGAGTGGAACTGGAAAAATCACTCCTTAAATATCTCTTTGAAAGCCCTACTAGAGTTGCTATAAAAAAAAAATCACTCCTTAAATATATTACTTTGAAAGCCTTACAAGAGTTGCTATAAATCTGTTCCAGCTTGACAGTGAGTAACACACACACACAACAGCCATGGTTAAGATAACGATCATAATACCCACACAATAGCCATGGTTAAGATAACGATCATAATACCTTCTGCATTTCAATTACCTGAGTCCCCACCTGGAAGGGTTTTCAAGGTCAAGCCCCAGGACCTTCTAAGTAGCAAGGACTAGGAGATCATCTGCCTCCCTCTTAGGCTGCCCTGTTCCCTCTGAGCTTAGTTGTGCTCCCCACAGTAGCTGTTGAGGAAGATATTTCCACAAACAGTAGGTGACTGCAAACCATCTCCATTCTCGGTGAGTTAGGTTTCTGGTTATGGAGACAGAGGTTGGCAGTTTAGTTCTCCACTATGCATCCCAGAAAAGTGAGCCTGTATGGTCTTGGGTAAGCTGCACAGTCTCAGGATGTCTCCAGAAGATGGAAATGGTAAACCACTTCTCTACATGGAAAACCCTGAAAAGGGTCTCCATAAATCAGAATTGACTTGATAGCACACAATTGTTTTTTGTACTCTGTGGCATATTGGATAGAGTGATAGACAAGGTTGAGGAGGCTTAGCCATAGAAACTCACCATGGGGTGCAAATGGTGAAACTATTGCTTAAATATCTCACTTATCTTGGAAGCCCCATTAGAATTGCTATAAGTCAGTTCTACCTGACCATACATAACAAATGTAAGGTTCGTTTGGGCTTGAATGGACAATTAAGATCCATTACCTTACAAAAAACTATCCTTAATTTGTTAAACATGGACCAATGCAGTACTGTATTATTATTTTTTTACTCTTCTTTGGAGGGGATGCATATAGAGACTACTATATGTTACAGAACTGGTCAGGTTTGCACAACACCCCTAGACATGTACGTCCACATGAAATAATGTCTTAAGTGGAAAATTTGTCAGGTCAAGGAAAAGTATAGGTTAAAAACAGTGGTGGAGAAGAAATAGCCTTTGCTAATTCCCAGTCTAATCATTGTATATATTTTAAGTATGGTTGTTCAGTAAAATTCCTCTTATGAATAGCTCGGAGTAAGTATGATATACTGAGTTCAATCTGTGTTAAGACATATGATTGTCATAGTTCAAAGATCCCTCACAGGTATTTCTTCAAATGTGAATTCACACATGTATTCCAAGAAAATAATTAGTAAAACACTTACAAGCTAGAATGCTTTTTAAGTCTTATCTTGTAAATCTAATCAGTAAGTGTTGTAGTTTATAGAATTCACAATACATGGCTTTAATAGGTGATTGTCAGAGCAAGAAATATTTTATGAGCCACTGTCTCTATATGAAGAATATGTTCTGGAACTGGGATTTAATCTATTCCAGCAACTAGTATATTGCCATTGAACAATTTCATATACGAGGTCACAGAAGAAGCCATGAATTAGTGGAACACCAGTTTTGATAACTTACTTTGTCAAGATCTATAATAAAAACAAACATGCTGTTAAAACCTTCATTTCAGTGTGAGCAAATCAGGCCAAATCTAGAAGAAACATAAAGAAGACAAAATTGTGGTGCTTTGAAGTCTAACTGCTATAGCTTAATGGGAGGTTTTGTGGACAAGTCCACTTCCTCAGACATACGAGTGGGACTACATGGCAAATATACATTTATACAGGGCCCAGAAACAAACAACTGTTTCCTAGCATGCATTGTTGATAGTGTGGCATCTGTTTAAATGGATTGTTGTGCTCTGTTGTTTTTAAATGTGTTTTTATGTTACCAACTGTTTTTAGTATAATACTTGTTTAATTCTTTTTTCATATTTGTATACTCACTCTTTTTAGTTTTTAAATATTGTCTTTTAATTGTTATAAGCCACCTTGACTCCTTTTAAGGAGTAAGATGGGGCAAAATAAATAAATAAATAATAAAATACCTGTGCAAGTTTCTTTATGAGGTTGATGTATCTCCACTCTAATTCAGTGTGAGTTCCCATGGATCACAACCCACTTCCATGTGTCTGAGGAAGTAGATTGCAATCAGTGAAAACTCACAGGTGGTGCGACAGTGCTTCTCTTCCCCCCCCCCCCCCCGCATGTGTATCTATTAATCTAGATTCAGCATTCATAGTCAATGCCATTAGATGGCACTGCTCTGCTTTGTAAACTCACGTGTTTGGTAACAGGGAATGTTACTTGGTGAAAGCCGGTTATCAAAGCAGCTTAGAAAGGGGACCAAGTTATGCAGCCATGCAGTCCATGGTTGTTGTGGGTTTTTCGGGCTCTTTGGCCATGTTCTGAAGGTTGTTCTTCCTGACGTTTCGCCAGTCTCTGTGGCCGGCATCTTCAGAGGACTGGAGTAGATGCTGGCCACAGAGACTGGCGAAACGTCAGGAAGAACAACCTTCAGAACATGGCCAAAGAGCCCGAAAAACCCACAACAACCATGGACTGCATGGCTGCATAACTTGGCCCCCTTTCTAAGCTGCTTTGATAACCGGCTTTCAGCAAGTAACATTCCCTGTTACCAAACACGTGAGTTTACAAAGCAGAGCAGTGCCATCTAATGGCATTGACTATGAATGCTGAATCTAGATTAATAGATACACATGCGGGGGGGGGGGGGCAAGAGAGGAACGGTGTCACCACCTTCGATCATCCCTATTCAATGCATGTGCAAGAATTTTTTCCTTGTGGGGCTGGAAGAGCAAATGTGCAATAGTTGCGCATTAGTCTAATCCCTACACGTAGCACACTCCATAACTTCACAATGCCTTTCTCTGTGTAGATTAAAATTAAAAATGCATTTTGGATTTGGGAGATGGGGTGTTCCATTTTTGCCCTGCACATACTCTTACCTCAACATTCTGGATAGTTCTGTAGATTAGTTTTCTGGCTGCGGAGCCAGAAGCTGGCAGTTCAATTCTCCACTGTGCCTCCTTGGCAGGGGCTAAGTTTGATGATCTGTAGGGTCCCTTCCATATGTACTGGATGTCTCACTGAGGTCAGTGCATAACCCAAACATGCCTACTAAAGACCAAGTTCTGCTAAGTTCCATGTGATGTTTACTAAATACATGCAGGATTGCACTTCATTTCCACAAGCATAATACTGCAGCCTCAGAAATGGAACTGAAAGGGACATACCTCTGAACAAACAGTCCTAGGATTGAACTGTGTGGCACTGAACTGAGAGAAGCAGGAAATAGATAGATAGATAGATAGATAGATAGATAGATAGATAGATAGATAGATAGATAGATAGATAGATAGATAGAAGATAGATAGATAGATAGATAGATAGATAGATAGATAGATAGATAGATAGTGTAGTAGGGGCAACATGGCAACCAGAGTGATTCAGGGGCTTCCAGGGGATGCCTCACCAAGAGATGCTTTATGTAAATTCACTCCATTATACAAAACATACTAACATGGCTACTCTTCGAAAGCATCTTTATTGATACCACCTTGATCTTAGTTTCAGAGGCTGCTGCCATCAATGCTGCTGTGTTCATTATTATTAGTTATTATCACAAAGAATAATGCAAATAAAACCAATGTGAAATAATTATATATTCAAAGGCCTTACAATCAATAAGTTTGATACTGTAGAGTAACAGTGGGCAACAATACCACTCCAGGTATTTCTGCCCACATTTCCCCTCACTGCTTGCTAGCAAATGGCAAATGACGCAACAAATGGCAAATAATTGTGGGGGACAAGACAGGCAAAAATACATTGAGCCCCAAAGTTCTCGTTCCTGCTGTAGATTGTTCTTCTACACAACTTTGGCCATGTTGGTTCAAAGATCCTGATTAGGTCTTTAGACAAAAATAAGTTTTGTAGGGTCAGCTTCCCCCTTAAGTAGTGTCAAGTGGTATCTTCAGAACAGCCTTACTGTTCTAGCTAATGTAATTAGAAAATTAAGAACGTGTGCTGCAAATCTGTGAAAAGGGTTTATAAGAATCACCATTAGGCTAAACAGGTGGGGCTGAAGAGGATTGGTGTTGCAGAGAGAAAGGGGGAAAAGTGAGTGATACCTGGGATGTTTTCCTATAAATACACTGCTAAATATAGGTGGCTTTCTTTATTAATTGTAGCTTAAATATTTTGTGGGGATCATTATAGTAAACAGTATTTTTATTGTCCTGGGGAAATACTACCTTAGGCCTTAGCAGCAGTAAGAGCTGATTTCCCTACTTATCAATCAGTTCCTTTATTCAGAGTATGCTTTGTAAAATGTCCACTCTGGCTGGGTTGTGTGTGTGTTATATGCTCTAGTATACAGAAAACAACTTTCCTCCTTTCAGGAGAGATCAAAACACCTCCCCACCTGACAAAGAAGCCTTGTTCTTACCATTATATAATGTGGCTTCCATTCTGCTGCTAATTTCCTGGGCTTAGCAAAGGAGTGGAGAAGGTGGCAGTATTTATCTTAGTTCTTGGGCACAGCAGTCATTTCCTTGTGTACCTCAAAATTAGCTGGTAGAGGAAAGGAAAAAGCTGCCTGAATTGTAGCTTTCTCTTTTATAGAATACAGTAGTAACTCTTAACTGCCTGTCTGGGGAAGAATGGTAGTTCTCTATTTCTCACTGAAGGGTCATAAGAACTCTTATGCTTTTTATTGCATTCTGTGCTTGCACCTGATGAGGCACGTAGCTTCCTTTCTTAGCTTAGAGTCCTTTTTGAAAGTTAGAATTTGTTAAGATAAACCAAACACTTTGGTTGGGGGAGGTAGTTAATTTCTACCATTTTCTTTCTTATAGCTGCCAAAATCCATTTGGGAGGTGTGTTGGGATGTCCTCTTGAATGCTGTGAGAGGTGACAGGATTGTTGTAGGATTTAGGTAATAGGGAGAAAGGGAAATTAGAATAAAATGTCCCTACCCCCTTCTCTCCAAAATAGCAGAGAGGGTGAAAGCCTCTCCTACAGTAACTGAAAGAAACACTTAAATTTCTAGATCCAGCTTGCTGTCTGGACCTGTTTACCTTGACCAAAGTGACCAACAATTGAAAAGATGAACCCTAAAAAATCCCCTATTAAAGCTGATTTAAAGCCAACTTTTTAAAATCTCTCAGCAGGTGCTCCTAGGGTTCACATGAGTAGCCTCTTCCCTTGAAAACCAAAAGATGTCTTTTCAAAGTTCTGAGAGCATGCTGTCATTGAAAGACATAATGGAAAATGGCTTTCTGATCAGTTCTTCCAGCTATAGCATTTCTCCAGGTAGTAGCAGCTTCCTGGAAATGAACAGCATTCCTAAATCTGATGCATGGGACAGTGCGAACAACATGCAAAACGTAGTAAAGAGGAGCTCTCCTGCTTTAAAGTCAACTGAATATCCTTTGAATAACATGAAGGGTGACCTCCAAGCTTCATGTGATGGTGCTACATCTTTCTGCAAAACTCCACTTCAGCCATATGCCTTTGATTTGTCAAATGTGAGTTCCTCCAATAATAGCAAAGTTAACTCCACAGTGGATGTCTTCTGTGCTACCAAATCTTCTACCCCATGCAAAGAAGATAAGTCCTCTAAACTAACTGAGAACATGCTATTAAAGAGCTCCGAAATGAATGATGAGACAATATTTAAGAAGCCAGCACCACCACCAGTGTGGGAGATCTCTGGAATACAAGCCACTCTAGACAACACTCTTTCTCTGGAAGCAAGCCTAGAAGATCTTGGGTCCCTGGGCTCCTTGAAAATAGATACACCATCTCTAGAGATGTTGCATCTTGCTATGCCTCTGGCTAGTAATGGTGTGTCTACCAAAAGACATCAGGCTGCAGCTGTTTAATCCAAAGCTTTCAGTGCAACCTAGCTTGGAGCTCTGATCTGACAATCAATCCACCCCCCCCCACCTACAGTGAAGTGACAACTGAACTAAACATATAAGGAACTGGTTGCAATTGTACTCCATGGACAAAGATATTGAACTCTCTGACACGCCGAGTGTGGAAAAATTACTCTTTTAGGATTAAAACTCCAAGAATTCCTCAATGCTGTGAACAGTGGCCATGCTGGCTGGGGGATCTTGGAAACTACTGTCCAAAAATATTTCCAAGCAAAAAAGTGTACATTGTCTTGATAAGACAGATGTTTGAACAAGTTTATTCTTCCTCTTTTTGAATGATCACTCTGTGCAAGACTTGTAGGAGATCTATCTGGCTGCTGAGTCAATCTAGTTTATCAGGAGGATTCTGCTTTCAAATCCAGAAGATATGTAAAAACTACAGTAGTGTCCAAAGCTTGCAAAGGAGCTAACAAGAAGGAATGAAATGGAAGTTGCAACTGACTGAGCAATCTGTGTAAAATAGTGACATAATCAAAGGGCAAAGATTGATTTATTTTTAACTGTTGCACAGAATCTTTCCTCACATACTTTAATGTCTAAGCTGTGTTTTTGTACAAATGCAAATAAAGAGACTAAATGTTTCTTGGCTTGCTCATCCACCAAGCAGCTAGTGTTGGATGGCAGTTTGTTCTTTGCATTGCTGGGAGCTATGAGCTGGTAAATCTTTCAGGGCAGTCAAGATTATGCAGACATGATTCTCCGGCCTGGCTTGGCCTCCACACAGGCCAGGAATGAGATAAGCAGAAAGGGAAAAAAACTAAAAGGTATTCTGATTACCTTCAACTTTGCCAAAGCAATACTTTTGTTCCTAAAGTGGGGAATTTCTTTGGATCCAATTTCCTTGGGGCTTTTCAAAGCAGATTTGACTGATACTTGTCCCTTGCAAAGGAGCTAACAAGAAGGAATGAAATGGAAGTTGCAACTGACTGAGCAATCTGTGTAAAATAGTGACATAATCAAAGGGCAAAGATTGATTTATTTTTAACTGTTGCACAGAATCTTTCCTCACATACTTTAATGTCTAAGCTGTGTTTTTGTACAAATGCAAATAAAGAGACTAAATGTTTCTTGGCTTGCTCATCCACCAAGCAGCTAGTGTTGGATGGCAGTTTGTTCTTTGCATTGCTGGGAGCTATGAGCTGGTAAATCTTTCAGGGCAGTCAAGATTATGCAGACATGATTCTCCGGCCTGGCTTGGCCTCCACACAGGCCAGGAATGAGATAAGCAGAAAGGGAAAAAAACTAAAAGGTATTCTGATTACCTTCAACTTTGCCAAAGCAATACTTTTGTTCCTAAAGTGGGGAATTTCTTTGGATCCAATTTCCTTGGGGCTTTTCAAAGCAGATTTGACTGATACTTGTCCAGCTTTCTCTTTAATGCCTCCAGCAGTGGAGCACTCACCACATCCTGAGGTAATTGGTTCCATTGTTGTACTGCTCTAATAGTTAAGTTTTTCCTGATATTCAGTCTAAATCTGGCTTCCTGTAACTTGAGCCCATTATTACGTGTTCTCAACTCTGGGATGATCAAGAACAGGTTCTGCCCCTCCTCTGTATCACTACTTTTCAAGTATTTGAAAAAAACTATTCTATCTCCCCTCAGCCTTCTTAACACCAATGTCCTTAATATTGTAGTCTTTGTCACAGAGAAAGATCAGGAATTTCAGGTTTAGAATGCAACGTTCATGCTCAAAAATGACTGTCTCTTAAATGTTAAGTTATCCCTGAAATAGAGCAGAGAAAACTCCATGGCACAATTACAGTGGTACCTCGCTTAACGATTACCTCGTTAAACGATGAATCCGCTTGACGATGAGGCTTTTGCGATCGCAAAACAATGTTTTAATGGGCAAAATTCGCTTCCTGACTATCGGTTCCCTGCTTCGGGAACCGATTCTTCCTATTACAACAATCAAAACAGCTGATTGTCGGGTTTCAAAATGGCCGCCTGCTGTGTAACTGGCTCCCCGCTGTGCTTTAGGATGGATTTTTCGCTGTACAGGCATTGGAAAATGGCCGCCCTATGGAGGATCTTCTCTGGACACTGAGGTATTTAGCCCATTGGAACACATTGAGCAGTTTTCAATGCATTTCAATGGGCTTTTTTATTTCGCTTGACGAGGATTCGCTCTACAGCGATTTTGCTGGAACAGATTATCCTCATCAAGCGAGGCACCACTGTACATGAATTAGTTATATAAAATAGTCACACATCAAAGATGGAGACAAAAAACATTAGCCAGGACCAAAAATTTCAAGATGGTACAAAATGACATTTTTATTTTTAAAAAAGCACACATTAAATATGGAATGTTTTATACATAACAATGTATCAAAATTATTGCTGCCTGTGAGGCAATGGAACTTTTATACTATTTACACATTTACAAGATTTCATAGGGCACAGAAAAATGGCAGGAAGAACATTGAAAAAAGCACAAAAAGAAAAGGTATGCTATTCTCTTTTGTTCCTCTCCCAAGGGTAATTGTACTCTTCATCTAGGGAAAGGTACATGTTCAGAAGCTTCCCTGCAATCCAGCTTCACTTGTATCAATATCATGCTCCTTTAGAAAGAGAAAGGCATATTTTAAAAACTGCACATCTCATGCTAAACCCTTCTTTCTACCTCCAGAATTGTAATACCATTCTTTCCTGGAAAGAGCAATACTTTATTTTGCAATTCAGAATCTGCTGCTGCAATCACTGCAAACCCTATTCAGACACTGGAAAATATGAACAGGGAGGCAGTTCTAGCCCTGCTCACTGCCTGCTGCTGTTTCCAGTGGGAGAGAGACTGCATGAAGAAGATTCCTGCTATGCATTTAGTCTCCGCATCCTCTTGGAAATCCTGAAGATTCAATGTTATAATCCCACAGAGAGACTTCATATGTAGCCAGATATCTCTTTTTCAAATTGCCTTTTTTTAAATATTTGAGCAATGCTATGCTTTACTTGCTTTCAGCAGCAGTATACACGTTGCTCAGTTACTTTCATTTACTTTTTCTATCACTAAAATTCTTGCTTTCTTTTAAGTTCTATTTCTTTTGCCTTTAATATTCTCATTTCTTCCTTCCCCAACCACAAAGGGGGCATTGGGTCTGTTCCATCACAGCACTGATGTTATTTCTCCTAAGAGAAGATGCAACAGCATAGTTCAACAATGCAAGGCAATGCATGCTTTGAAGGATTGGAAACACAATACGGTTGTAATGGTGTACAACCATTATAAATGATGTTTCAAGAGGATTACAGATTAAAAATCTTTTGTTCACTAAAGGACACAAGGGGACATCTGTAGCATTTGGGGGGTTGTTAGGTATTATGGGAGCAGAGGCAACTTTCAAAGGTCAGGTATATGCAGTCTTCAAACCTCTGAAGAATATCCATTTCTCAAAATTTATTTTAAATGTTTTTTTTAATTATGTCTAGAAATAATACTGCATACTCTTGGTTTCAACTATAATTAACATTCATATCAGCACAATATAATAGGCACAGGGCTTAGTTTGAAAGTGGAATATGAGGAAAAAGTTGTATACAGAAGGTGGCAGTATTCAGACCCAAACATGTAGAGTTTTTGGGTGAGCATCATCTCAATATTTGGTACTGTTCTGTTCTATAAAGAACACTTTCTTTAAAATCTGTTAGAACCAGAGTACTTCAATAATTTTAAAAGGAAATTAAAGATAATTCCTATTTTATGTTAAGTTTTAATGTGGAATTCCTGCAGCAGCTTACTCAAAGCAGGTAGTGAGTATTAGGAGAACTAGTTTTTGTGTCTTCCCATAAATAACAGCTGCAAGGGGAATCATCATCATCTTAGAACTGCGCAGCTGGAAGGGACTGTATGGATCACTGAGTCAAGCCTCTGTGAAGAAGGCACTGTGGGGAATCAAATTTCCATCTTCTGGCTCCCCATCCATATACCTAAATCACTGGGATAGGCAGTAATTCATTAATGTCTAATAGTTTACCTGATTTAGCTTCTTGAACTCCACCACTTGAAAGAAAATGTGCTCCAAGATATGTTTGGCATCTTGCTGCTCTTTTGGCAGTTTGTTGGTCACCCCTAGGATATCACCACATTTTCTGACATAAAATTCCAGATCATCTTCAGTACCTAGGAACAAAAATGTATTATTTGCACATACCCTGTTTCCCCGAAAATAAGACAGGGTCTTATATTATTTTTTCCTCCAAAAATGCATTAGGGCTTATTTTCAGGGGATGTTTTATTTTCGTTATCTACATTTATTCAAATGCAGTCATGTTATCTTCTGGTTGCTACAGAATGGTGGAGGTTTCACTTAACTAGGGCTTATTTTTGGAGTAGGACTTATATTACGAGCATCCTGAAAAATCATATGCAGCTTATTTTCAGGTTACGTCTTATTTTAGGGGAAACAGGGTAGACGAGTAGGGCAGGCAGAACTCATTGGAATAAGGCACTCTGCCAGGTATCAAGGTCCCAAACCATTTAGGGCCTTAATGTCATAACCTTGAAGTTGCCACAGAAAAGTACAAGTAATCAGTGAAAGGTGTCCATAATGAGACATGTGATGGTATCTGTTTAATCCACTCAATAACCTAGCCACCATGTTCTGGACCTACTGTGTGTCCTGCACTCTGGAATGACTGAGAACAGATGCTGCCCCTCATCTGTATGACAACCCTTGAAGTATTTGAACAATGCTATCATACCCTGCCTGCCTAAAAGTCTTCTTTTCTCAAGGCTAAACATGCCCAGTTCTTTCAGTCTTTCTGCATATGGCTTTGTTGACACAGCCCTGATAATCCTTGTTGCCCTCCTCTGTACTTGTTCAAGATTATCTGTAGCCTTTATAAAGTTTGGTGTCCAGGACTGGACAAATGATGAAGCCTAGCCAGCACTGAACAGAGAGGAATGAGTACTTCATGAGATTTTGTGACTATACTTCTGTTAATGCAGGTTAAAATAGCATTTGCTTTTCTTGTAGCCACTTTGTACTATTGACTGATACTCAGTTTGTGATCTACAACAATTTCAAGATCCTTCTCAAATGTAGTATTGCTGAGCCAAGTAATCTGCATCTTATAACTATGCATTTTCCTAGTTTCTTTTTCCTAGCTATAGAACTTTTTTAATGAATGTGATTTCACTAACCAGTGGGAGAGAAATATTACCTAGTTTATGTTATGCTATGTTTGGATTTGTTTTAAAGAAACTACAGATATACATTTCATTCAGTTCTGTGAAACAGGACATGTTACTTTTTAAAAACTGCAAATACAATGGTAAATAACTATTTTTCAGTGGGACTTGACATTGTAACTGTAACAGTTAAGTTTTTAAAGTTTACCAATACCTATTAATATTTCTCATATTGTCTTTGAAGCATGGTTACATATCATGCTTCTGATCATCATGCATTCTTCTACAAATTGGTGTACTTTCAAAATTCAGCATTTTAAAATGTCTGATTCAGCATATTTGATATTTTTAAGATAAAAGGGACCTATGAGACTAATCTATTCATGCGAATAGAAAATTAGTGCAGTACAGTAGCTTAAACAGAAGTATATAGATGAAATACTGCATCTGTCATAAATCCAGCTGGAGTGAAAAATGTCATTCAGCTATAGCCTTAGAAGAGCCAAGTTATAGTACTCATCAGTTTACTTGCCTTGAGAACAAATTACGGACCTGATTTTAATTTATCTTTGTTTCAAATGAAAGTCTGATGCAGGTTAGTTGTGTTGCACAGCAATTCTTAGAAGTTCAACTCTTCTAAAGTGTTCTATAACTTCCAGTTTTCTCTTCTACTATTATATCTCACTGGAAATCCTACCCATCTATTCTGTGAATTTGTCCTAGTTTAGCAATCCCAAATTCAAATGTCTGAATTACTTACATTTGTTAGTTATTTGTGCAAGACGAGCTTTTTCAGATGAGAAAGTTTCATCCAAATCAAACAAGTCCAGGCTGGGAGGAGGCAGCTCTCTGAAGGCTGGTGGAAAAATCTGAAAGGTTGAGAAAATAAAATGCTCTGGTCTGTTCAAATCTGTTCAGAGAAAAAGGATACTGGTATAGCTCTACGTAAGCCATTTGCATGCTAGTATCTACTTTACACCATGTGAACCTCAGAAAATAAATCACTTTTCTATTTATAGCCTTAGGAATTTGACCACATCTATTTCTGTTTCAGGAAATTGAATTGAATCAAATATAAGAATTATGATAAAAAGGAGAGTACAAAAAAAAAAAAACCCACAGAAAACCCAGATTTCCCTGATACCAGAATATCAGGCAGTGACAAACTTGGAGTAGGTTTAGGAGAATGAAAACCTGTCATCTCTATTAAGATAGGGTAGTCACATTCAGTATTGTAATTCTGAAAAATGATAGGCAAAATGTTTTGCCTAGCTTAAATGTTTTCTTACTCAGTAATTACAGACTCCCTTGCCAACCAACTTTTAAATTTACAAGATCCATTATCCTAAATTTCCTAGTCTGTATTATCCTACATCTATGTTCTCATTTTCTGCTACATTTGCCTAAAATGTGTTGAGTTTTACAATTCTAGATGTCAAAACATCATGCTAGTGACTTAACACAATTCTTCTGTTGTACCATCTATTCTGTCACTGGATAGTTTCACTTTTTCACTCTGCTAGCTTATGTCTGCCATCTTATTTTTTCCTCCCATGTGTGAAATGCAAATAGCACAAAGAATAGACTTGCTTTCCTTATAGCAGAATTGGACAACATATGTGCCTCCAAATGTTGTTGCACCACAACTTCCATTATGCCTAACTGGTACAGTTAATTGTGAGAACTGACTGAAGTTATAGTCCAACAGCTGGAGGGCCAAAGATGCCCATTAGAGATGGCAGTATTCATATACGAATACCCCCGCACAGATGGACATAATGAGGGTCCACTCACCATTCTTCTGCGACCTCCGCGAGCCTTCCAATGGTTCCAGAGATCACATTCCACAAGCCACTCTTCAACCTACAGAGGCCTACCAGGACTAGCGAGCCAATCACGATCTCCAGAGCCATTGGAAGGCTCTGCAGAGGTCGCAGCAGTGGTGGAACAGTGAGTGGACCATCTGGCTCCATGGGGCTGGACCCTCATTATGTCCACCTGTGTGGGGGTATTTGTATATGAATACGAATACCCCCATCTCTAATGCTCACCCTCACCTTACACACTCTCAATGTGAAAAAAATAAAAATAAAAAGGACACTATTACTCACTGCTGGCTGGAGTGCAGGCAGTGGAGTTTCAAACTGAGGCTGAATTAGCTGAAGTGGTTCATACTTCACATTCAGCTGCTCATAAGATCTACAATGTTAAGACAAAAGAAAAGGGTAATGGACAACAGGCTGGTTCATACCTATATGGACAACGTATAGTAAGATGCTGCAGCAAAATACAATAGACAGATGCATCTAATCCATGCCATTCTACGGAAATAACTAAACTGTTATTAAACATACAACTTAAACTTACCATCTAATTCTTAACATGTTTACTTGGCCATATACAGATCAATGGAAATAATTTCTAAATAAAGTTGCTCAGGAGTACATTATCATCTGTCCGCCAATTTTTCCCATGGAAAATTAATATCTTGATTCCATAGACTCTAGCTGACTGCTGGCAGAACACCCAGCTTCAGTCCCTAATGTCTCCACAAAAAGCTGGGAAGAACTCTTGCCAGAAACTGGAGAGCTCCTGCTAGTTGATAGCAGCAACATACAGGTAGAAGGACTAACATTCTGACCCAATCTGTCAATTTCCTATGTGCCAGGCATTTTAAACAACTCAAAAATTCTGACAGAGGCACTAGAACATACACATGCATCAGAAATGCACAAGACTTGATGAGTCCATAAATAGGAAGATGTGAAAGATTAAAACAATGGTCAGAATCCTTTGATTTGCACTGAACAGGGAGTTCGACTCGATGACCTTATAGGCCCCTTCCAACATTATGATTCTATGAAAAACGTAGTTTTCAAATCAAATCTGGTATCCAACAATTGGCCAACTATACACCAAGAGGAACTGATAAGGAGCGACAAAGAAAGGTGGTGACAAAAGCCACAAATACAGGTTTCCCTTCATTTTGCAACAAGGTCTGGGAAGCAAGAGGAAAAACTTCATGGAGAGGTGGGAGAACATTTGGGACTACTGTATTCCTTGTTATTCTTCAGATTGCTTGGGAGAAAATCTAGTCATTTTATAGAGGCAAAGGTGAGTTAGCTCTGTTTCAATTTGCCTGATAATTTCAAGCATAATTCTCATTTTTCCTCATAGGCCTTTACTTCTCAAAGTAGAACAATTCATTCTGGAAAATAAGATACAATCCTGAGAATTGTACATTGTTCAACAAACAGCATCTTAACACAACGAAGTGAACAAGTTCCAGGATGAGCTACATAGTTGTAGAGTACGATAAATGCAGGCATCTTTACATCAAATGTTCATTGCTTAATAGCTTCCTAGTTTGTTGCATTATTTTTAAAAAAGAAGAACTGCTCTGAATGTAACAAAGAGTCAAGTATTCTTACTTAATTATTTTGGGAAGTGCTGTGGTATCCAGTTGATATATAGATGTATCAAAGAGTGTTGTGAAGTCTCGTGGGTTCTCATCACCCTCCTGCAGGCAGACTCTCAATCGCTCTGATAGGGTGGCTATATCTGGAAGCATGGTATAATCTGATATCTGAAAAACCATGGAAACAGAAGCAAAGAGACTGAGAGTACTAAGAATGGGCCTCTCATAGTAAGAAAATGGCATGACCAAGTACTATATCTTACACATCACAAAGAAATAATCCATGGGAAATTTTCAATATAGAAGTTAATCCAGTTTGCCCAATTATAATCTCATCAACATGATGAGGAAACACACATAGCTATACAAACAAACACACACAGCTATACAGGTCAGAATTTAATTATATTTTTTGTTTGTTTTTTGAACAGTAAATCAGCATATTCATGGAAATTCACCCATAACATGATACTGCTTTAATTTCCAATGTAAAACCAGTCTGTTGCTGAATCCCATAAACATCAATGCTAGCATTATCTTCCACCTCCATTGGATTTTCTACATTTATTTACAGTATTTATTTATTGGACTTATATACCGCCCCATAGCGCTACAAGCACTCTCCGGGCGGTTTACAATTTTTTTTAATTATACAGGCTACACATTGCCCCCCCAGCAAGCTGGGTACTCATTTTACCGACCTCGGAAGGATGGAAGGCTGAGTCAACCTTGAGCCGGCTACCTGGGATTTGAACCCCAGGTTGTGAGCACAGTTTTAGCTGCAGTACAGCGTTTTAACCACTGCGCCACGAGGCTCATGAGACATTATTACAAAGTTCAAAGAACTTAAAGCTTCAGCTAATAGAAAAGCTGGCACTAATACAAACTGAAGAAACTTCCTAGAAGACGTATCAAAACTGAAAGCTCAGTTTCTATCATTTAGTCTTGTCAGAGTTTCTCCATTAGCAGGGACAAAGAAACATATGAAACAAATATAGAAATGGAATAAGGTTGGTAACTGGTAGGCAAAACTATGGTAAATAACTATCAGAACAGCTTCTCATACCTCTGGATCTTCTGCATCAATCTGGTTCAAATGAATGTCATCTGTTGTAAGCCACTGGAAAAGTACATCCTAAAAAACCAGAAAGACCTGATATTTATGCAAGTATTTAAATAATCAATTTAACATAACATGAAAGAAATGGAAACATTACTTAGTTACATAGAGATAAACATAATGAGAAAAGAAATACATAGGCACAGGAAGGAAACAGGAAGCAACATTTACAAATAAATTATTACCAGTGACCATACTTAAGATTTCAAATGAAACCACAGTTCAGCGCAGCATGAACAAATCTATGGAAACATTGGAATCATGAGCTCCTGATTGTTTTTTCCTTCTCCCACAAGAATGGAGCAGGAGTTTGACATTTTCACTTTTCATTTGCTTAAAAGAAAGCTTACTCTGTTAATTTTTAAACTCCAAAGACAAATGACCAAGTGATCATTTAAAAGTGCATATTTATTTTATTAAGATTAGCAATAAAATTTATAGTAGAGGCTCACCATGATCTTGCTGTTTTCTTCTTTTTCCAAATATTGGTCACTGAACAGATGACAAGATCCTAGTACAGCTAACTTGCCACCTTGGTTCTATTAAAGAAAAGGCATCAAAGTTGTATGGAAGTAGGGCATATTCCATATGTTATAGGATCAATTAAATTATATCACCAAGCATGAATGAATGAATGAATGAATGCATTGTTTTATCAGGTATACTCTTTATATTATATTATTTAACATTCAACATGACAGTAGCAACACCATAACTGTCAGACTAATTAGATATGTGACACATGTATTAAAACAGAGAAAGCAGTGAAAAATGTATACACCATTATTTGCTTTCAATTTTATAAAGGATTCAAATCATATGAACTGCATATTCATAGAGAATGGCACAGCACCGCTGTATCATTAAACACAAAAAGCCACTTAGCCTGCAATCCTGTACATAGTTTCTTAGATTAAGCCCCACTGAGCTCAGTGCAACTTACTTCTGAGTAGATACATACAGAATTATATTGTTAGTTGCTTATAAAGCCAAATGTCAATACATGTAGGTTCATATAATTAGCAAATTAAAACAGCATAAAGAGATGTTTTCATTACGTTTTCCTAACTGAATAATCACAGAATTTTTCTTAAAAGATCAAGCCAATGGAAGAAAGGGTTAATTCATAGTAAATAGCACAGGACATAGTACGAAAAAGGTTTAAACATCTTCAGACAGCTTTCCATTTAGCTGAACAAATTTAAAAAGGAGCTTTCTCATCTTTAGCAAATTTTCTATGAAATCAGATAGGAGAGAAGTCTATTTATTTGCCAAAACTTTGGCACTGCAAATTGTTAAGGTTACAGCTCTCACATAGTTCCTTTCCACTGGCCATGATGAGCTGAGGCTTATCAGAGTTGACATCCTGAAACATCTGGAAAGTCAAGGATTGCTCATCCCTGCTATATACCACAGCCAGGATGGGGTTTTGTTTGGTTTTGTTTCTCAGCTCTTGTTTTTCTAATTTACTTAAGAGGGATATCTGCTACTTATGGCCATTATTCCCCATCTTTCCTGACAATTTTTTTCTCTCCTAAGAAATAGTATATCATTTATTTCAGGATCTTTTCGCAGAATTTTTTAAAAAAATTCCTTCATCTAGATAAGGGAAAAACAGATGTCCAGTTGAGGTATGACTTTCTACCTTGTTATCCATTTAATTTAATCCTAATAATTTATCCTAATTATGATGGAACCAGAAAAACTGAAATGTATGGTAGAAATAATGGTCATCAAGTCCACTAAGTCTACAAAGAGCTCAGTAGTTTTCTAAAGTGGCTCTCAGGATCCGAGCGTTCTCCCTCCTTATATGAAAGCCCTCCATGTCTTCTAGAAACTAATCCATAAAGATGCAGAAACTCTTCACACAAGGTTCCAGAACAAGACAAGAAGTTTTAGGCAGAAGGGAAAATCTGTATAGCCTGGTATACAGAGTGGAGATCTTAGACACAAACACAAGACTCGTCTCTTTCCCAGAAGTATTTGGAAGGGTTTTAGCCACTGGCATTAATCTGTGTCTGTTATTAAGTAACCTATTTTTTATCAGATTAAATCTGATGAACTGTATAAGTATTCAGCAAACTACTACTTTTCTTTTGGAATAATCTAACAAAATGTGAATAAAATCAAATGAGCAATTTACTTAAAATATAACAATAGTGAAACACACTAAAAAGGAAGTACAGTGGTGCCGTGACTTATGACCATAATCCATTCGAGAAGATGGTTGTAAGTCAAAATGCTGTTAAGTTGAATCAGCATTTCTCATTGAAATGCACTGAAAACCAATTAATCCATTCCAGCTGTTTTTGGTTATATCTAGAGGCACCGTTTGTAAGTCGAAGCGTTTGTTCCCATAGGAACTAATGCAAAAGTGGTTAATCCGTCCTCTACCACTAGGGGGAGAATTTTTCTTCTTTTAATGTAAGATAACTTAGGTTAAAAAAAGGGCAGGAAAAGAGGGAGAGGGGGAACAATGGGGAAAAGAGGAAAGAAAGAAGGTCATCACTGGGGCATACAGACCCCTCAGACAAAGGTTTGTGCTATAAAGCATAAAAAGAGAGAAGAGAGAACACGATGGGGGGAGGAGTTTGGAGTCTAAAACACCTTTTAAACAAAACACTTTTTAAACCAAATGTATTTTAAACCAAACAACTTTTAAACCAAACCAAGCACCTTTTAAACCAAACACATTTTAAACCCATCCACCAACACCATTTTACACCAAGCCAGCCACCACAGCAACCCCCTACAGAAAATGTTCTGATTTTAAAACAAAAAGACTGGGGAGTCTAACCCCATCTTACAGCATGACTGCCACCACAGCAGGGCCTCACAGAAAATGTTCTGATTTCAAAACAAAAAGACTTTGGAGTCACATTTTAAATCCACATATTTTAAAACAAACCGTTGGGGCAAAAAAGCTACAAAGAAGCAGTCGCTTCACCACCAACAGTTTGAACTTCCTGCCCTTTCCCCCTGCCTTTTTATGTTCGTAAGTGGAAGCTCCGGCCAGAAGCTGAAGCAAAATTTTGTGGCTGGAGCTTTTCGGCCACCAACAGTTTGAACTTCCTGCCTTTCCCCCCTGCCTTTTTGTGTTCGTAAGTGGAAGCTCCGGCCAGAAGCTGAAGCAAAATTTTGTGGCTGGAGCTTTTCGTAAGTCGAATTTTTTGTAAGTCGGGACGTCCGTAAGTCGAGGCACTGTACTGTTTAATAAGTATTTGATGGTTCGGGTCGTCTGTAAGTGGAGGCACTACTGTACTGTTTAATAAGTATTTGATGGTTCACACAGTAATGTACCTTATAATGATAAAAAGCCAAGATGGGTCTATTAAGAGGAAAACACACAGATCCTGTGGACAGAACAGCCACTGCTGGTTTCATCACATTTAGCGTAGCACCAAATGGATATACAAAAGTCAGAGCTCTACAAGAAAATCCAAAGAATGAAATAAGCACTATATTCCATAGAATTACACTTTCAAACACAATCTTTCTCAGGGCTTAAAAAGGGTACTTTTTCCCTTAATACGACCCCCAAAGTCCCCCAACTAGGATGGTCAATGGGGAGATGGTCATTATTCTCATGCAGTGTTCTTCTAATTAGACAGGAAGGAATCATTCTGTCAGGAGAAGACGCTTCCCAATAATGAAAGGTGTGGGGATTTTGTAGTCTAAAGTTCCATCTTGTGGCTATTAAGGGATACATCACTGGTTGCAGTGTTCATTAGACAGGAAGGAATCATTCTGTCAGGGGAAGATGCTTCCCAATGGTGAAAGGACAGTCCTGGATCTAACCCAATAATTCACTGGATCACTCTTTAGAAGGTATTCAAATCCTATTTTCCTTCCTTTTATGTGGTGACTGACTACAGCATAAACCCCTGTTCAATATCCATAATACTTAACTCTGCGCAGGCGTGGAATGCCTTAAGACTGATAACCACACGACGCCTCTATGGCCAAATTCTTATCTTATGCTAATTTTGCTTGTTTTGCGTGCTTAATAAAAACGTCTGGGGTGAAGAAGGTAGCCATCTTCTTCTTCTTCTTCTTCTTCTGTACCGGTACCTGAATACTAACAAGATAAAGTCTGCAGTGTCTTTTTTATCAGAGAATTCTCTCATCAACTGTTGCCGGGCAGGCCTGGCAATAGTTCCCTGGCTATTTCCCCACAGAAAGGACAGTCCTGGATCCAACCCAATAATTCACTGGATCACTCTTTAGAAGGTATTCAAATCCTATTTTCCTTCCTTTTATGTGGTGACTGACTACAGCATAAACCCCTGTTCAATATCCATAATACTTAAAAACTTTCAATTCCCTCAATTTTGCATTATGATCAGTTATTAAAAAGCAAAATATGGGATCGTACACATCCTCCAGGACAGCCTAGACATGTCAGTGACTTTCCCTCTCCTTACAACACAATGTTTTCTTAGATAATTTCAGAATTTCACAATCAAGGGACCAGTAACGTGGGTGGGAATGAGATACTCACTGTGCATCATTTCCACTGTTGTCTTCATCTATTATGCCAGACACTGCTTTTCCCGCAGCTCTGCTGATCTCCCTTATTGGAAGAAACAGAAGAAAAACTAAGGGTTGTATCCTGACACTACCAAGATGTTGTGCAAAATAAAACTTGTCTGTATCCAAACACCAAAGACTTACCGATTTAAAACTCCATTGGAGACCAAAGCTTCTTTAGGATGGAAGTATTTATAATACACGTTTCTTACCACAGAATCTTAAAGAAATAAAAAGGAGGTTATTTTTCCCCAGTAGCCTTTCCTTTTAATGCTGGAAACTAGGCTGTGACTTTTAAATCCTACTTCTCATCAAATGCACCAGAGAAAGGTTTATTTTCTTGTGACACATCCATAAGAAGAGTATATACAATCACGCATACTATAAACATACAGAGAACTACCAAAAGGAAAGATACAAGTGCTGAGATACAGCAGTTTTTCTTAAGGCCTCATCTTAACATCCTTCCTCTGCTGCTTTCATGCTTGGCGTACTGTCACTATACTAAGTGTACTGCAACTTGGTAAGCTACTCAGTAAACCACAATGCTTCAGTGCCTCACATTATAGCATCTTTTCTATGCCACTGAGTGCTACTCTGCTCTTCCTTCTATACACTAAGGCTTCAAGGAAGAGTCAGTTGCTAGATATTCTAATATGCAGTAAACCCTGGTTTTAAGCAAAAGGTTTTGTAAAAGTTACTATGAAACTAACATAGACATGATGTACTCAGCAATATCGGAAGAGATGTTTTGCTGAAGCCTGACAGTAATCTGTATTAACTTTTCCAACCAGGCACTCCCCTATTACCACAGCCATTGTGGCTATTAGCCACCATAATGGATACTGTGGACCAAAATACTGTATCTGGATGGCAGGGAATGGAAAATTATTATATACCTTGAAATGAGCCTAGAGTTCAAGACTGATTGAAGAACAAATATCACATGGCCATAAATTTAATTTAACATATTATCACTTTGCCTACATTTTACAATTGGCATACAGTATAGGAAAAAGAAGAGAAAAATGGCAAAACTAAAGTCAAACTTTTCCACTAATATTTTTGGACTTAACACTGCCATTCCACTGTCATTTAGTAACCTACAAAACATACTTCCATTCATATAAACTAGCTACTTGTATACTATGTCACACTGCACAATATGACCAAATTAAGAAGGAAGCCTGTTGTCAGATCATTGTTGTGGGTTTTCCGGACTGTTTGGCCATGTTCTTAAGATTTTTCTTCCTAATGTTTCACCAGTCTCTGTGGCTGGCATCTTCAGAGGACAGGAGTCAGAACTCTGTGCTCTGTGGCAGTTTGTTTAATAGTTGAGTATTTATAGCTGTGGGATCAGCTTTTGTCCTTTTCAGGAGATTGAGTGATTATGGTGATCAGCATGTTTTTGTTGTGGGTGTATTGTTGTGATAAGGGGGAGAGATAATCTGTCACTGTGATTGATGGGTGTCGTTAGCTGGTCTTTTGTGTGCAGTGATCACTGGTCCTTGTGACTCAACAAAGCCTGACTCCCAGCACTGAAAAATACAGCCTGCAAAAGGTCAACAAAGTCTACCCAGCCACAAGGACCAGTGATCACTGCACACAAAAGATCAGCTAACGACACCCATCAATCACAGTGACAGATCATCTCTCCCCCTTATCACAACAATACACCCACAACAAAAACACGCTGATCACCATAACCACCCAATCTCCTGAAAAGGACAAAAGCTGATCCCACAACTATAAATACTTAACTACCCAACAAACTGCAACAAAACACAGACAAGAGTTCTGACTCCTGTCCTCTGAAGATGCCGGCCACAGAGATTGGTGAAACATTAGGAAGAAAAACCTTAAGAACACAGCCAAACAGCCCGGAAAACCCACAACAACCATTGGATCCTGGCCGTGAAAGCCTCTGAGAATACTGTTATCATATCATTTATTACCATTATTGACCATGATTCCATACTCTTCTAACAAGAAGTTAATGTTGGTGTCATATCGAGATTCACCACCTTCTCCCAGCATCACCAAAATATCTCCACCGCTTTCTAGATACTTCTTCAGAACCTCAAACTAGGAAGTGAAAAAAGGACAATTTAGTCCTATGTACTGATTAACTAAACCATGGGAGACTTTTCTACTCTTAGCCCATTTAATCCTTGAGGACTCAAGTTGCCACATAGGATAACCTGTGGATAAAAACATCCATTAATCTTTGGTTAAGAAATCTACTTTTGTTACCGAACAACAGGCAAATTAAACCTGGAAAACTGCTGTGGTTTAAATGACGCACTTAGAATTTTAGGTGCTACCCAAAATCTATTACTTGATGTACAGCAAATATGGACTGCCCAGTCCTGAATGGTCCACTTTTTCTTTCTCCTTAAGACCCTGTAAATCAAAGAAAAGAACACAGTCCCTATAGTCAAATATGGTGGAGGTTCAAAGATGTTTGCTGCTTCTGGCTCTGGATGCCGTGACTGTGTGAACAGTATCATGAAATCTGATCATAGGCATCCTTCAGTCTCCAGAGACTATGGCAACGTGCTCTGTATGGAGGACTTGGAACAGCACCTAGTGTTTTGATGCTGTACGTGAAGCTGGAGTGTCCTCTCCAGGGCATGACGCCTGGGTAAAATAATATGGAGGATAGGCTATTACCCAAGCAGCAAATCCCCGCCTCCACATCATTGAAATAGTCCAATGGAAAGGCAAGAGCCAATACAACTGGTTTCAGCGATGTTGCAGGAGTTGGCAGAATGACACAAACCTCCTCCAGGGCTCCGGATTTTGTCTCGAGGTTAACTCCTGAAGCCTTTTCCATTGGTGGATATAGCCACAAGGCAGTGGAGGTTTAAAGTCAGAGTTAATCATCATCATCATCATCATCATCATCATCATCATCATCATCATAATTGGTAAGCGTTTGCAGTTTCATTTCACCTCTGTTTTTATTCTTTGTGTGGACATGAAAAACAAACCAGACTAGTACTGCATTAAGGTACAGTATTCAAGGGCCAGCGTTGTACAACTGTACTTATCTCACCCTTGTCATAGAGGAACATCCCCTGTTTTTCCCCAGTGCCAACAATATTGCGGGGCTTCCCAGAGTTCCACCCTACTTTCTGCTGAAGAACGAAAGTGATCTTTCTCTACAAGTGGGCATCCTGTCTTTGGGGAAGTGTGGTGAAAGACACTTGAGCGTTAAGAACAAGAACCACATCTTGAGTGCCTGTGGTGAGCAGGGCAGAAGCGTATGCCTCCCTCCTTTTCTCTTCCCATCACCTTCTCTTTCTTACCATGCCCTCTTCTGCCGAGGAGCTAAAGCAGCTGTAGAAAAAAAGCTAAGGAACATAATCCTGAGAAACACAGTCCTGCATGTTTACTTCTCTGCAAATATTTTTCCTTGAAGTTACCACAAGTATTTTGGTGGGCAGAAACCACAAGAGAAGCACTGAGATGTACTCTTAGCCCAATGCTATGCTCCAGTCTGTGCCATGTTAACCACTCAGCATAGGCATTGATGACACACGAGGTGTCTACAAAACTGGCCTGCTACTGAGGCCAAGAGTAGCCTCCGGGACTCCTCCGGGACTGCCTCTGGGACTGCGGCTCCGGATTTTGCCTCAAGGTTAACTCCTGAAGCCTTTTCCATAAGTGGATATAGCCACAAGGCAGTGGAGGTTTGAAATTGGATTTTTCCTTCTCCTAGATGGGCTGCCTCCCAGGCTTTGGACCCAATAGTCCAAAGAATTTTAAAAACAATGATTCCAAAGCAAAGACAAGTGCTTTCTGTATACTTGTGTCCTTGTTTCCAATTTGCTACCAGTAAGGAAAACAAGGCAGGCCTCCCATGTTTGGCCTGCCGGGTAACGATACCTTGACCAAACTTTGATGTAGTTCATCACCTTTATAAATATCTGGTCCAGCCGAGACTTTTTGTGCCTCTTTGAGGTAGAGCCATGTTGTCCTCAAGAGACAAGAATCTGGAAAGCAGCAGAGGCTCGCTGTCAGCATAACCAAAAGAGAGAGAGGAAAAGACCCCAGAAGACGTTTCCTCGAGCAAGAGATCCAGGGCAGGGAAATTCATTCTAACTTGCTGCTTATGTTGCATTTGTGTCTCTCCACCAAAATCACCAGCAGTGCTGGCAAATGATGACAACTCCAAAGAGGGAAAAGAGTCAGAGGCATAACACCATTACCAGATAAAGTATTCTAACAGTTTGGGGACTGAAATAGGTGGCAGGGAAGGCCAGGGAGTCCTTTGGAGGAGGAGGCAGCTTTCCCGGGGGTGTGTGTGTTAGACCGGGCCTACCAGAGAAGGCCCAAGACCTTTCGTTGGATAAAACAACTGGAGTCAGGGAACCAAGGGTTTTATACTTTATCTGTTGCAGCTGCGTTTATGAAATTTGATGGTTGCCAAAGAATTTTTATGTGCAACGTAGTGGCCAGTGCTAGAAAGAAGCATCTCCACCAGAGCTCATGGGTCTTCCAGCAGGACAATGACCCAAAACACACTTCAAAAAGCACTCAGAAATGGTTACAAACAAAGTGCTGGAGAGTTCTGAAATGGCCAGCAATGAGTCCAGATTTGAATCCCATAGAACACCTGTGGAAAGATCTCAAAACAGCAGTTGTGAGAAGGCATCCTTCAAACCTGAAGGCCCTGGAGCAGTTTGCAAAAGAAGAGTGCTCCAAAATTCCAGTAGAGAGGTGTAAGAAACTCATTCATGGTTACAGGAAGCTATTGATTTCAGTTATTTTTCCCAAAGGGCGTTCTACCAAATATTAAGTTAAGGGTGCCAATTATTTTGGCCAGTGCATTTTTGGGTTTCTGTGAGGAATTGTATCAGATTTGACATTTCTTCTCTGTTTTTTTTTTTTTTTTTTCCAATGCAAACCAAATAAATGAACAAGTGAGTACCAAAACAATTGCAACTGCAACAATTTTCTGAGAGAAGGGTTGCATTTTCTGAGAGAATTGCAAGGGTGCCAATATTTTTGGCCATGACTATAACAGGAAACATACTTGTTAACATAAGAAACACGATACTGATATAGTTTAAAGTCAATTTGTTCCAGCATTTCTTGCAAGAATCCCGGTAACTGGAAGGCAAACAGATAGCACCTGCACAGAAGACAATAATGGTATTTTAAGCCAAAACCCAGGATGGAGAAATACGGTTTTGATGTACACATTTGATGTACTTCTACTCATGCAGAACAAGATAATTAGTGCTACTTCTGCCTGTATTACTATACAAGCAGGAAGACCCACAGAATGCTAATGCAAAGGAACCTGTGAATCTCAAGAACTGAAGCAGTTCACTGGATCACATCACTGGGAAAAGAAGCAATTTTAAGTAATTATTGGTATTTGTGTGACATACCTCAGCGGCTGTGAATTTTTCTCTGGGTCCTGATGTAATCCATAGTTTTACTCCAGACAGCTTCTCTGAGGTGATTTCATCTTTTAAGCTATGAGCAAATTAATAAGAAGATATGTTACCCTGCAATAACAAGGGCAAACAATCAAAAACACATGTTTTACCTGAAAAGTATTGGAACTGGAAACATACACACCTAACAACAAGTAGCAATTCCGCCTCTAAAACCACCCTAACTTTCTACACCAAACTGCTCACCAATACACCACTCCCCTATTATCTCCCAGTCAACCAGAACCATTTTAACCAGTACTCCGTGTACCGCTCTCACCCTCTCCCTACATGTACTTAACAAACCAAACAAGCAATATTGTTAAGCATAACTAAGCATCATAGTGGGGAAACTGTGGTGGGTGGGCGTTGCTAATATGATTTGTGCACTTTTAATCCTACTATTTCCCTTCTTTTCACATGTACGGAAAGGACTAGCATAAAATCCATCTTGCATGGGAAGGGCATGCACACACTCCTTTTTCCCGTGACTGAAAATATTGCAAATTCACTCACCTCTGTATTTTCCAATTACTACGAAGTTTTTTCTGTAGAATTCTATAACCATTGTTCATAGTAAATATCTCCTTTTTGGAAGCATTGAAGACAATTATATTCCGAAGCTCTCCCTCCATATTCACCTCAGGGACCAAAGAGCACAATAACATAAAAAAACAAAAGGCAAACCCTATAGTGACCGTACATTTCAGAAACTTGTTTTAATTTTAATGTGCTATATAATCTAGGAACTGGTTGTAACAAAAAAAAAATCACTAAGATCCAGCATCCCTTAATCCTGTTTAGGAATTCGGAAAGGAACATTTAGATGTGAGAAATATATTTACATAAGATTAAGCCATAGATACAGTCCAAGGTAGGTCTACCCCGTTTTCCCAATATGTATTTAGAAAACACATGTGAGAATACAGTTCTAATACTGACCCAGCTGTTTCATTAATTAATGATATGCGATGTCTGTAACCTCAAGTGTTTTATTAATACTTTCAAACAACAATTACTGAAGAAGCTTCTGTGCATTTACTAAAAAAAAATCCCCTTCACAATGGAATGTAATTCTGTGATTCTGACTACAGACTGATGTGGAATGACCTGAAACATATTGGAAATTAGGTACAGTACAGGATACGTCTACTCAAGACATACTCTGTTTTCCCAAAAATCAGACAGGGTCTTATATTAATTTTTGCTCCAAAAATGCATTTCAGGGGATATTTTATTTTTTTCATGTACAACAATCTACATTTATTCAGATACAGTCATATCATCTTCTGGTTGCTACACAATGCTGCACAATGGTGGACGGCGGGGTTTCACTTGAGTGGGTCTTATTTTTGGGGTAGAGCTTATATAACGAGCATCCTGAAAAATCATACTAGGGCTTATTTTCAGGTTAGGTCTTATTTTCAGGGAAAGAGGGTATATGCACAAGGGTTATTCACTGACCAATAGAATTCCCCTTATTTTACGAGGGGGTGCTGATAAGTATTGAGCCTTTCCCAGAAAAAATTGAGGTAGGAAGCTGTAACTGCCACACTATTCTATGTATTCCCCCAGGAAATCAAGGCACTTGCAACATCTGTCCTGCAGCTTCTAAAGTCCCTGCAAATAAAATTGTTCCGACTGCTGGTGTAACCACTCATTTGCAGCATTAGTTGCCTCCAGAACACTCCCAAATCGTTGTCCCTTTAGTTGTTGACTTTGCAGAACAGATAATAGTCAGCAGCAGCGAGGTCAGGAGAATAGGGTGGACAGGGCATCACTTGAAAGCCTAAGGAGGTCAGTTTTTTCATTGTTTCCCCTGCAGTGTGTGACGAGGTGTTGTCATGCAACAGGATGGCGCCTTTGGAGAGATTTCCTCGATGTTTTTCCTTGATGTTTTGCCCCAACTTTGTCAATAAAGCACAGTAATATTTTGCATTGATGGTTGAACCCTGTTGGAGGTAGTCCACCAGCAGAACTCACTTCTTATCCCAAAAAACTGTTGCCATTTGCTTCTGCATCAACCTTTGCACTCGGAACTTCTTTGGCCTGAGGGAACCACTGTGCCTTCATTCCTTAGACTGTTCCTTTGTCTCAGGATCATAACAGTAGATCCATGTCTCATCACCAGTTACCAGTTTGTCCAGGAAATCTGACTCATTTCTTGAAAAATGTTCCACACAGCCACCGACGACTCCACACATTTCCTCTTTTGCTAGGTTGTCAAAAGTTTTGGGATCCACTTTGCTGCCAGCTTTCTCATTTCCAAGTCGTTGTGGATAATGCCACTAACTCTCTCATGTGATATTCTCAGATATATAGTAATACTTTTGGCTGATATTCGGCGGTCCTCCATGATCATGTAACAGAAACAGACAGAAACAGGCCTTCCACTGGGTTTCTCACTTTCAACACCGAAATGGCCAGTTTTAAAATTGACAACCCAATGTTTAACTGTTGCATATGAAGGGCCACTGTCACCCATAGTGTGTGACATTTCATCATGGATCTGTGTTGCATCTTTCCCTTAGAGAAACAGGAACTTGATTGTGGTCCTATGCTCTTCCACACTGAACTTTTCTGGAGGTGCTGCCATGTTCACTTTGGACCTGAACATGAAAGTTAAAATCATAGGTAGCTGATTTTTGCACCACTGAATACAGGCAATTGGCCAATACACCCTTCAATTTATAGCTTCCTAGCTCAAATTTTTTTCTTGGAAAGGCTCAATACTTATCAGCACCCCCTCGTATTCCAGGTGTACAATTTGACATGAAACCAAGCAGATCATAAAGTCTCTGGAAAGTAGATCCTTATTTTAAAGTACCGTAATACTCCTCACTATGCAGCATTATAGAAATGCTTTAATTCCAATACTCCAGCTTCCTACTACAGATTCAGAACATCAACTATTAAAAACAGACCAAATGAAGAGAGTGAATTTAGCAATGTTACTGTAGCAAGTTTATTTATCTACCAAGACACTTATACATCACATAGCTACATTAACGGCTGAATATGTCCCCCAAAACCCTTGTTTTAGGATTGTACAGGTCTCCAGCAAAGGATTCTCAGCATACAATTTTGCTCTCAATATAATTTTGCTGTTTACATACACACTAGTCATTTGTAAACAAAACAAGGAAATTTCTATACATCAGTCTATGATAAGGCACTAAAATTAGTGTGCCATCAAGTCAATTATGACTTACAGCAACCTTTTACAGGTTTTTCTAGGTAGAAAGCATTCAGAAGTGTTTTACCATTCCCTTCTCCTGGCGGCATTCTGGGACAATGCAGCCCAAGGCTACACATGCTGACTTTTTCTGAAATGCACAGTGGGGAACTGAGCTCCTAACCTAACTCACTGAGCTATTTAGCCAGCTTGACAAAATATTAGGGAACAAAAATATAGAGAGGAGATACTTCACATCTCCATGCTTTGCTATTAACAAATATGTGTCTTAGTAATTTGAGAACTGCAAATGTTTATGATACTTGGTCTATCTAATTAACCAAGTGCAAGGAGAGATAAAAAGATTGTTTCAATAAATTTATACCAAAGTTTATGGAACCCCATAGAATTGAGACCCCAGTCCAGAACTGGACCCAATGTATAACTTTTTCAAAAAGTTATAAGTATACAGTATTATCTATAATAGAAACTTAAAATATGCAATCTCTTTTACACAATGACTTTAACATTAAAAGACATTTTAAATTAAAACTATCAGACATATGGATTTCTTTAAACACATGGTATTTGGAAAAAACAAATTAAGAAGTCCATTTGTGAAAATCCCATTTTAATAATTAAATTTTGGATTAATAATTATAATTTAAATAATTAGAAATTAAACAAGCACATTCTTTGTGGTGCAGAATCTAAAAGAGTATGAACAATTTCACAATGAACATTTTTCCTAGTGATTTTCAAAGAGGTAGCTGCATTAGTATTTATTAGTATTTATTTCAGTATTTATAACCAAAATAAAAACAAGAGTTTTTGAACTGCTCAGTCCATTTTGGGCAATAACATTTTCCTCTCCCAAACTCTCAATAGTAACCCCATTCTTGCTTACTGACAGCCCAAATACGTTACACAACTATTGACACACAACACAAAAAGAGGAAAAAGACCCGGCAGTTACACAACTATTGACACACAACAGGACACACAACACAAAGACAGGAAAAAGACCCGGCAACAAATTCAGATGTCAACTGTGCACCTATGTCTACTTTGGCAGCAGCATTACAACCCCCACAGTATCACCCAAAACATGAAGGACTATTTTAACTTGCTATTCGCCTGATGCAGTTTTTAAAGTACCCAAACTTTTTTTTAAATTGCTAGCAAGGCATTAAATCAGAGATGTACAACTCCTGGTGTTTTTGCACCGCAAGTCCCATCGCTACTGACAATAACTATTCTGACTAGGACCCATAGGTTTTGTAAGGGAGGGGGGAAGCTGGAGGGTGAAAAATTCATCCCTTGTTTATGTTTTGCCCGTGTAATGAGCTGAAGAGGGTCCTTTGGTGCTACTTTTCTTGCTGCTCCTCCCCGCTGAAATTAGTACCTAAGCGGCTTCCTAACAAAGGAAACGTCTCCTTAATCCACAGGTAGCGAATGTTTCTTCCTCCAGATGTTTTGTACGACAGCTCCCAGAAACCCTGCTAGCACACCCAATGGCACGGAATTATGGGAGTCGTAGTTTAAAGCATCTGGAGCGACAGAGTTCCTCCTTTCCTAATTTACTCCTTCCCCGTCGCCGCCTCTGTTCGGGGGAAGACACTGGCGAGGTCCCGCTCCCTCACTGCAGCTGCACGGCGCGCTTCTCCGTGCCACGCGTTCTGCCCCTCGACGCTTCACCCCCCCCCCATCTTCCTCGACGCCCGATAAGGGTGAGGTGTCCCAGATATCTGAGAGGAATCCCACGAATTCCCCCCCTCCAAAACTGGAACCCGCCCTCCTGTCAGTGGACACGGAAGGAATACAGGCATAGACAACATCGCGAAGGGGAGGATAAATCAATACCGTACCAACTCTCCTCGCCCTTGCCCACCACAGCTGGGAGGAAGCACAAACTTAAACGGGAAAAAACCTCCACGAAGTTCAGTTTACCTGCGGAGACACCACCATTCTCTCCCGGGCCTTCCAAACCAAGCCACGGTAGGCAGGGCCAGCGACGCGCAGTAACTAAGGGCCGCTCCCACCCTAGCAACGCGGCTCCTCATTAGCTGCGCATGCGTGTAAATCAGCTGGGGGCGGTACAGAAATTTAAATACGTCTGACGCCATGGCGACCGACATTTGGCTGTAGATTTTCTGATGGCGAGGTGTCTTGGAATCTTCCATTCCTGGAGGGGTCTTTTGGGCTGTACCACTGTGTGGCAGCCCAAAATAGATAAATCAACATTTTTCGTAGGAAACGGCCCGAAATACAGAATAGAGTGGCGAATGCCGTGATATGCGAGTTACATAATATGCTGTCTATGGAGAACTTCTGCATTCCTAAGAAAGTAGCAAGAATATTTGCAGGTGTTTTTTTTCCCTGAGGCCAACAGGATGTCGTGGCATGGCACGTTCACTCGTGCTCACAGGGAGTCTATCTGAATATAAAAATAAGTTCATAAAAGAAATTTTCTTCTTTGTTTTCTATCGCAAGCGGAGCCACCGTGACTTGGGCGATAAATTCACAATTTAAAAAACAGCTTAGCATAGAGTAATATGAAATTGACCAATTCTATGAAGGCTTACAACGCCTTCTAGAACTGACACCAAAGAAAGATGTTCTTCTCATTATAGGGGATTGGAATGCTAAAGTAGGGAGCCAAGAGATAAAAGGAACAACAGGTAAGTGTGGCCTTTCAGTTCAAAATGAAGCAGGGCAAAGGCTAATAGAGTTTTGTCAAGAGACATCTTGGTTGTGGTTATCACACTCTTTTCCAACACAAGAGGCGACTCTACACATGGATATCACCAGATGGGCAATACTGAAATCAGATTGATTATATTCCCTGCACCCAAAGATGGAGAAGCTCTATACAGTCAGCAAAAACAAGACCTGGAGCTGATTGTGGCTCTGATCATCAGCTTATCAAAGCAAAATTCAAGCTTAAACTACTGAAGAAAGTAGGAAAAACCACTGGGCTAGTCAGATATAATCTTCTAAACCAAATCCCTTATGAATACAAAGTGGAAGTGAAGAACAGATTTAAGAAACTCGATTTGGTGGACAGAGTGCCTGAAGAACTATGGATGGAGACTCGAAACATTGTACAGGAGGCAGCAACAAAAACCATCCCAAAGAAAAGGAAATGCAAGAAAGCAAAGTGGCTGTCCAGCAAGACCTTAAAAATAGCAGAGAAGAGAAGGGAAACAAAATGCAAGGGAAATAGGGAAATGTATTCGCGAAGGCTTTCACGGCTGGGATCTACTGGTTGTTGTGGGCTTTTCGGGCTCTTTGGCTGTGTTATGAAGGTTGTTCTTCCTAACATTTTGCCAGTCTCTCTGGCTGCCATCTTCAGAGGACAGAACCCCATTTCAGCAGAAATTGTAATCTTTTTTATGTTTTCATGTTTTAATCTGTTAATTGTATTTTAAATCATATGTTGTTTAATTTATCTTTTAATATTTAATTTACTGTGTTTTTAAATTGTGTGAATTTTAATATTGTGAGCTGATTTGGGTCCCCTGTTGGGAGAAATGCAGCATCATTATCATCATCATTATAACTCCATCCATTGCACCACATCAGTATTTCTAAATATGCATCAACTGACCCTGGTGTCTTGCTGCTTCCTTCTCTTTCACTGCATTTTCAAGCACAGGAGGCCAAGGGAATAAGAGTAGCTTCTTTAGAGCAAAGCTTGGCCAAGAATTTTAAGTTCAATGACTGAATGAATGAATGGATATAATAAATAAAATGTTCTGTGATTAATTAATCATAGTACTCACTGTGAGAGTACAATCCTTAGGGGTAGAGTTTATTTCCTTTCTGTAGCCTTTGCGTTTTATACCAGCCTGATGAAGAGTTTTAGAGAAAGCAAGTTAGCAAAATCTGAGTAGTCCTAAACTGTGTTTTTGTTTTGTCCCATGAAGTTGGAACCGACTTATAGCGACCCTAATAGGGCTTTCAAGGTAACTGACACATTTAAGGGGTGGTTTTAACAATTCCACTTGTGTAGTCAGTTTCCGTGACTAAGTAAGTGGCAATTCAGACCCTATTCTCTAGAGTCCTAGTCCATCACTCTGTCCATTACACCACACTGGGAATACATTATTGCTTTGCTATAGATTTTGGATTGTGCTCCTTGCACTGATAGAGATTACATTTTACAGCCACCTGAAAATAAAGAATTAGCCCAGGGATTGCTTTCAGAAGGCGCTACATGAAATCTCAGAGATGGATCACAAGTTGATCTTCCGCCCAACTACAGTGCTCCCAACTAAAATTGCACAACTCATCTGCCCCAAAAGTTCCTTGGTCATGGGTGCTGAAATTTTGGCTACATCTCATATCAATCCCATTCAAGATGGTCCATGGTGGCTAATTAACAGTTTTGGACCAGCCAGACTCCCAGTAACCTTATATTATTTGAGTCCTGATGAAAACAGAAAGCTGTCACAGAAGTTTTTTTTTTAATTGATAACTAGCAGGCTTAGTCAGGCATTATACATTATAGCTAAAGGAAAGACAAAGACACCCTCACATATTAGGGAACCCCTGTGTCCAGCTGGGTGTGTTCCTTGAGGTCTGATACACATGGGTGGCGAACCCAAGGTAGAGAGGTTACCATGATTAATTTTATTTATTTATTTTGTATCATTTGTCGGGTAACTTTCTCCCAGAGAGAGAGAGAGGAGTGACAGCAATTCACAGTGTTAAAACAAATAACACTAAAAGCACAACAAATTACAAATTTAAAAAAAAACAATTTAATGTGTAATATTAAAAAGGGTAACTTTCTCCCAGAGAGAGAGAGAGAGGACCGACAGCAATTCACAGTTAAAACAAATAACACTAAAAGCACAATAAATTACAAGTTTTTTAAAAAACAATTTAATGTGTAATATTAAAAATCAGTTAATTAAAATCATTTAAAACTTTAAAATTAAATTAAGAAAAAAAGCAAAAAAAAGAGAGGAAGTTTCTAGATCAGCCTCCCTACAATTGAAACTGAAAGAGAAGAATGAGGACAATAGCTGCCAACTCCCTTTGCAGGAAGAGAAATTATTATGGGATGAATGTCACAAATTCCTTCTTTGACTGTGTTAGCATGTTACCACCTTTGTTTTTGAACAGAAGATGTGATGTGTTGTTTTTGTCTTTGCTCACAGGTCTCACTAACATCAGGTTTGTTTTTGAACAGAAGATGTGGTGTGTTGATTCTGTCTTTGCTCACAGGTCTCACTAACATCATGACATGCTAGCTGTGAAATAGTGTATAAATATATTTTATTTAGTAAATTTCCAATTGAATACATATGGCTGTCATAAAACATTCAGTGATGTAAAGAAGAAAATGTCACTACTGGAAATCCTGTAATCTGGCAAGCTAAGGACTTTTGTTACTATATACATTTTCTCTCATGGGCTGCCCAGGTAAATTCCATATTAAAATGGACAAGATAGCAATGCTTCAGCAGAGTTGGCCAGATTCATGTTCAATAAATTGGAAAGTAAACACAGCTACCTGCATGCCTTTTGGTCATGTCCTCAGAGTCAAAACTAATCGAACATCATCTGTCTTGGAGACAAAGGATACTATCAAGTATTTTCTTTCTTGGTGAAGTTTGCCTGTTCAAAATCTGTATAATTATCCATGACACTAATATTATATGAGTAATCCCATGAGCAAAGCTTTGAATAAGTATTAGGAAAAAAAATCAGAAGCCAGTTTTTCTACAAACATGTCAACTTTGATAGACAAGATACAGGGTTGTTTAAAATGTATTATACTTTTTATTGAGGCTTCAGTACTCATCAGATCGAAAAAATTTGGCAAGGGAAAGAACACGGAACAAAATGCAAGTATATTTCAACAAAATTAGGCAGTTATCTCAGAGTGTATTGGTGAAACCAAACAGCGGACTTACAAGACTGCCATTACAACCAAACCATTTATTTTATTGTATATTGTATCCTCATGACAAAGACAAGCAAAAACGGATCCTTGGAACAAACTTGAGCGCTTGGAGACATTTCTTAATACATAGTTAAAAACCACCACTTTTAAGAATTAAGAGCACATAAATCTTTTAGACAAGAGAATGAACACACTGAAAATTAAATCTGGACAGAAGGTTTTTTTTTTTAAAAAGGCCATTGTTTAGTAGTACAAAAGCACCAAAACCTAGCAGTTATTTCTGTAGTACATGTTCCTTATTGGAGTTGTGTCCTCCAAACCCTAGGTGTACATACCTTGCTCTTTGCTACTTTGAAGAGGAAGATAAAAGCTCTGCTTCACTTCGGGTCATGTTGTTCACCTCTGTTTATGTTCTTATGCATACTGGAAGCCCATTTGAATCAACTCTGCTTCAATCTACACAGTTAACCAGCAGGATGCATGTATTTTGCCTTTGGTTGATAGTAGGGGGATTCATTTCTAGAATCAGCCTACTTTGTTGTTCATCTAGAATCTTGCATATTCATGTTTTAGAGGAAAACAGAATGGAAATGTTTCTGGGACAGATAATAATTTGGTGTAAAACCAAGTTAATGAGGCTTCATACTGAGGCTGTTATCATTGCATTGGCAGGAGGCTGGATCCATTTTGCATATTAAAAAGTACACATTGATACAATTCACTTGTGCTCAGCAGTTTTCAATAGGCAGGGCTTTGAAACAAATCTGTTCTTGCTTTATGCTTATAGAAACAAATTGTATTGGCTGTTCTGTATCTTTGATTTAAAGAGGTAGTTATGATTAGGCCTTTATCACTATGTAGCTTACAAGTAAAGGTGGTGGTGAGAATAAATCAGGTTGCTAAAAATATAAGCAGAGAACTGGCAACATTTTCAAGATGAAGGTGACATGCCACTGAATCTAGAACTGAAAGGATGTGTTGTTGGGCTAGGCCATTCCCATCAGCACTAGTTAGCTGGAGAGCAAAGCATTAAATCCTGAAAACAAAAAACAAAACCTATACACATTATAAATGGCATCACTCTGGGTCCATAACATTTCTCCAAACACAAACAAAACAAAAAAAGAAAGGTCCAAAGACAGCAAATTTGGGCAATGGAGAATGCAAGGGTAAAATTTCATGGAAGGAGTAGCTATAAGGAATTGGTGGATGGTGGAAAGCTTCTGGATTTTCAGACTAGTACTAAAGGCCTTCTCAAGAAATCTCCTGTAGGAAACTAGAGCACCTCAATAAACAAAGTAGAGTCCACAAGACCCTTAGAAAAATATAACCAGAACATGGACCAAACTAGGGTGAATCACAAGGTGAGGAGACAAGCAATATGAACAAATAATGCACTAACATTAAAACCAATGAACCCAGAATAACTGGTTATGCGGAATACCTTCTGTCGCTCTTAAGCAATCTACAGCAATCCAAACAGAGACTAATTTGCATTCTCACAGGACAACATTTTGGCACAAGATTGTTTCACTAAATGTGTTCAAGTCTTTATAAATAGAATCATTTCAACTAGGATAATCAGCATTTCCTCAGCAAAGAGGGACATTCACATTATAAGGTCTTGTATCATAAAGCTGTAGACCCTGGTTCTGTTCCAGTTAGAAAATTAGTCAGAGAGTAAGGCTTCCTCCCATTAAAATCAAGAGCTAATACTGGATTTCTCAAGCCTTCTTTACACAGGTTGCTCTAGTCCTCATCGTTGGGTGCATACGAAAACCCCAAAAAAGCATCCGTTGCACTGGAACTGCTGGCAGATAAGTCAGGGGTACGGATGATGGAACTGGGAACAGCTTCCCGAGTGAATTCTGGATCAAAATGCCGAAGATCAGCAGGGCCAGCCTTGAAAAGTAAAGACAAATTATTTGTGAGCAAACTTCAGCTTATATCAATAATAATTATGCCAGTTTTTTTTGCAGTTGACTCATTTATCTTATAAAAATGTTTTATGAACACATTTGGGTTTTAGTTGAAGATTATATTAACATTTCAAGATCTTGCTTCTTGTGTCTATCTGGCATCTTTGAGTGAAAAATAGTTTCAAAATCTTTGACCAATAGTTAATAATAAAATATGGTATAGCGATTTGAATCAGATATCATGGGTTCACATTGTCTTCCCTTTTCCCCTAGGTCAGTGATGGCGAACCTATGGCACGTGTGCCAGAGCTGGCACACGGAGCCCTCTCTGTGGGCACACGAGCCATAAGTTGCAATAGACAAATACTTACCTGTCCTCCAATCCCAGATTTTGGCACTCCCCTCTGCTGGTGCAGTGGTCCAGGACAGGGGTATAATGGTGATCATTACCAGTCTAGTTCAATGAGGGATTGGAGAACCAGTAAGTATTTATTTGTTAATACCGCCCCCGGGGGGGTGGGTTTGAAACCAAGCATTTAACCCTTGCAGTGCAGGAGCAGTTTTTTCTAAACTAAAACCTCAGCATTCAGGTTTTAATTGCAATATTGGCACTTTGAAATAAAATAAGTTGATTTTGTGATGCAGTTTGGGCACTCAGGCTTAAAAAGGTTCACCATCACTGCCCTAGGTAGTAACCATCACTTAACTGTTACGTCCAAACAAGATGAACCATGATTCCTCCAAACCATAATCTGCTTTGAAACTATAATTCAAGATATTTTTTTCTGATTTTGATTTGAAAGCAAAGGATGATACACAGGCTGAAAGTGCAACCCCAGTGGGTGAAACATGATGTAATTCTGATTTCTAAAAGGACCAGCATGGTTCAAGTCAGCAAAATCAAGTATAAATGTCAGACTGCAGGCATTTCAGTACTACCAACCCCTGAAAGTAATCAGAGCAGACTATTTCCCAGTTTTACAAAATAGGGAACTGTTGATAGCTAGAACAAACTACTCACTACTTTAGGATCAAATGGTGGTGTTATTCTCTTGTTATATAAGTCATCCCAGTTGATTGGACTGAAGAACATATGATTCTTTATCTCAAGCTGTGAAGAGGAAAAATAAATGGTTGTCAATTAATTGAAGGCACACATTTACCTTCATCTAGTTGCAACTGTGCAAATACCTACATTTCCAAACATCCCAGGAAAGCATATCCATACTAGGGCTGTTTCTCAATTTTTCAGGAACCTCATCTGTTCCTTGCACTTGCATAATTGCAAAGTAGGGTACAGTATATAATGGTACAAACATCTCTCTGTACACCCCTCTGGCAATATGTATATGCATGTGTGCAGAGAAAGGGAGAGAGAGACTGATTTAAAGAAAGAAGCAGCACAAATGAACAAGGATCATCATGTTGCATGGGGGGCAAATACATCATATGAAAAACTATAAATGGAAATGCAGACTTATTTTTAAAATATAGTATACAATAAAATCAATAATATTCAATATCTACCATGTCTATTAAAACTGACCTTATATGCAAATGATATGTGGCTAAATATGAATGTTCGCCCCGACTCTCTTAGTTTTATGCATTCTCCACTTTGATTTATTCTAGATACTACTTAAGACCAAAGTTTCAGAGCTATTGCCTTAAACCCTCTAAACCCAGGGTCCCCACCCCTGGTCTGCATCCCGGTACCATGAGAGAAATGAGCAGAAAAGTACAGGGAGTGGAGACAATTTGATTAGACAATAGCAAAGAAGGAACATGGAAGATTAACCAGTAGTAGACAGGAAAATGGGGGAAGTGGTAAAACCGCACAGATATTTAAATACTACTAAGGATGGCATCTTCAGCAAGTCAAGGAATGTATAATAATGACAGGCACTTCTCTACAAGGTGCATCACATACAAAGTCTGTCTTGGCTCCTAGTCTCTTCTTCTTATCTTTATGGAGAAGTCCTTGCAGGATATCACAAGCTGCTATGGTCTTGGTTCCTTGAATATGAAGTGGCTTGTGCAGAATATTATCATACATCTGAGATACATCACGGCTGTAAAATGGAGGCTAACAAAAGAGATGGGGACAAGGGTGGAAAAGACATGAGTTGCATACGCATAATGTATTTATTGACATGCTGGTTTCAGATAGACTGTTATTCATGCTGATTGTGTTTGTACTGTTGTGGAGAGGTGAAGAAGAACACAGGCCAATGTGCTTTGGATTTGCTTCATCTGCTATTATGAGTCCTTTTAAACAAAACACAACATGAATGATTCTGTCACTTGTTTGGCTATGATTAAAATTACGGTACACAGTTTCTCTAGCGTACGCATGTGACCCAGAGTTTGGCAGAATTGCTTTTGGACTGAAACTTCTGGAATTCCTTAGCCAACATAGCATGTGACCATGATGGGGGTGGGTAGGGTGCGAGTCTGGGAAGTTTCATACAACCACACAGCTTTGAGAAACTCTAATGTAACTCCACCTCATCCTGCACATAAGCATAGACTACCAGAGCTCTCAAGTCAAAGCTTCAACCCTTCTTCATCAGCAAAGATGATGATACCATCTGCAACTCTCTCAAACTTCCCTGCCTCCTCTGAGCTGTGATATATTCCTCAAAGGCAAGGGATTTTCCCAGTACAGTACATGGTTGTAATGTAATATAAGGGTTCAGGATGACTTGAACTAAAATGAGAAATGAAGGCACATTGTGCATTATGTGTCTTAATTGTGCATTATGTGTCTTAATTCACTTATAGCAACCCTAATGAGGTTTTTGAGGTACTTGAGATGTCAATGCCCAGTGAGTCTCCATGATCCAATAGGGACTTAAACACAACCCTCCCAAGTCCTGTCTAACACTATCCATTACATCATAATGACTATCACGTTAGACACATTACAAAACATCCACTTCTGGCAGAGGAAGCTTTCCTCATGAAACTGCAAACTTTCTTCATGACAGGAGTACCTTTACAACTGCAGGCATTCATCATGCCTATAGGGTAGTGGTTCCCAACCTTGGGTTCCCAGATGTTCTTGGACTAAAAGTCCTAGAAGCCTTCCCTGTTAGCTGTGCTGGCCAGGATTTCTGGGAACATCTGGGGACCCAAGGTAACTTGGAATGACTGCATAGGGACTGGTATGATGCTTGCAGTTCAAAATGTGCCACAGTTTTGAGGAAAGCTTACATTTCAAAATTTTCAATATGTGGATCCCATGATGGCTGGGACCCAGAAAACAATGGCCAACAATGGCTCTCAGCATCCTGCAACCGTAACTGGCTGGCACATTGTGGAGAGGTGAAGAAGAACACAGGCCAATGTGCTTTGGATTTGCTTCATCTGCTATTATGAGTCCTTTTAAACAAAACACAACATGAATGATTCTGTCACTTGTTTGGCTATGATTAAAATTACGGTACACAGTTTCTCTAGCATATGCATGTGACCCAGAGTTTGGCAGAATTGCTTTTGGACTGAAACTTCTGGAATTCCTTAGCCAACATAGCATGTGACCATGATGGGGGTGGGTAGGGTGCGAGTCTGGGAAGTTTCATACAACCACACAGCTTTGAGAAACTCTAATGTAACTCCACCTCATCCTGCACATAAGCATAGACTACCAGAGTTCTCAAGTCAAAGCTTCAACCCTTCATCAGCAAAGATGATGATACCATCTGCTCTCAAGTCAAAGCTTCAACCCTTCTTCATCAGCAAAGATGATGATACCATCTGCAACTCTCTCAAACTTCCCTGCCTCCTCTGAGCTGTGATATATTCCTCAAAGGCAAGGGATTTTCCCAGTACAGTACATGGTTGTAATGTAATATAATGTTTCAGGATGACTTGAACTAAAATGAGAAATGAAGGCACATTGTGCATTATGTGTCTTAATTGTGCATTATGTGTCTTAATTCACTTATAGCAACCCTAATGAGGTTTTTGAGGTACTTGAGATGTCAATGCCCAGTGAGTCTCCATGATCCAATAGGGACTTAAACACAACCCTCCCAAGTCCTGTCTAACACTATCCATTACATCATAATGACTATCACGTTAGACACATTACAAAACATCCACTTCTGGCAGAGGAAGCTTTCCTCATGAAACTGCAAACTTTCTTCATGACAGGAGTACCTTTACAACTGCAGGCATTCATCATGCCTATAGGGTAGTGGTTCCCAACCTTGGGTTCCCAGATGTTCTTGGACTAAAAGTCCTAGAAGCCTTCCCTGTTAGCTGTGCTGGCCAGGATTTCTGGGAACATCTGGGGACCCAAGGTAACTTGGAATGACTGCATAGGGACTGGTATGATGCTTGCAGTTCAAAATGTGCCACAGTTTTGAGGAAAGCTTACATTTCAAAATTTTCAATATGTGGATCCCATGATGGCTGGGACCCAAAAAACAATGGCCAACAATGGCTCTCAGCATCCTGCAACCGTAACTGGCTGGCACAAATAGGGCAGTTGCACCAGTTCTATAGTCTGTCAACTATATGTTATTCAGATCTCTGCTCTATTTGACTTAAGCCTGTTGGCATACAGGGTAAAGCAAAGAAGACATTATCATGTCATAGACTATCAGATCATACAAATTCTTCTTCAGTGCCAAAAGGAGATATAAGTCTCTACACAGTTCAATGGACTTTAGTATCGCTTCCCAAACCTGGCAGGAGTGGGGAGGTTTGCATCTGGAATAAAGAAATCTGCTTGTATACACCTCTCAGCTTGGGAATCCTTTCTCAAATGACTTTTAGTTCTGAGAATTATTGTCTGTAATTTTTCAGCTTCTGTTTCTTTTTGAAAAGTAAGCTCAGTTTTCAAATGCCTACCAAGCCAAACAGCATTTCATAGAGGACTGCTCCAAGACACCACCAGTCTACAGTTCTGTCATAGGGCTCCTTCTTCAGCACTTCTGGAGCCAAGTACTATGAAAAGATAAGACAATTTAAACACACATTGACACAATCACACATCGATATGATCCACATAGAACACATCTAACAAAACAGTTCCAGAAGCTTTCCAGTATGGTATGGCTTTGCAAGCTACTGCTTCACCTCATGATAGAGTAATGTTTCCAGGTTCAATGGCAGCTTTGCAAATTATATGAGGCTAGTTAACCCATATCAAGAATGTCTTGTTTTTTCAGCTGCTGGCTGTTCTTTGGTGAGAAAGTGAAATTCCCAGTGTTATGAGCTTATCTGCATGCAATTTTCCACAGAGTTTTGCCCAAGGCACCTTGCAATATATTAAATAAGCTACTCAAAAGCAAGTATTCATCTATCCTTCCCAAGAGGTTTTAAAAAATGAAGTTCCACTTGTTTTCTTGTCTGTAGTTTCCATATCAAAAGTCCTGTGAGAAAAAATAACTGATAAATATTCTAGTCATTTCTTTCCTCGGTTGTTTTTTTCCTCAGATATAACTAGCACCAGTAACCTTCTGTGGTAAATTCCATTGTGAAATCCTATATAAATATCTTTTAAATACTGTACTGGGAATCAGGTTTTGTCTTAAAACAGGTGTGGCAACCCTTGGCACGCCAGAGGTTTTCCACTCTAATTCGCAGAATCCCCAGTCTGTAATGCCAAAGATAAAATACTATGGGATATGTAGTCCAAAACGTCTGGAGGGCCATGCTCTCTTAAATCAAGACTGTTTGTCCCATTTTAGATTGAGTATGCAAAATGAAGTTTGTTTTAGGCTCACCATTATACCATCAGCCAGTCCAATACTACATATGCTTTGAAAACTTAAATAATATTGGGCTGGGATATAGTTCTATATTTCTTATTCAACAATGGTGTTCAGTTCCTAATAAAACCAAAGGTTGATGGTGGTGGTGGTGGGGAATGGTGCATTAAAAATGGATGAAAAAAAAACCATCAATATCATACCTCTGGGGTACCACAAAAAGTGGATGTTGTTTCTTCTGGTTCCATTCCTTCTTTGCATAGTCCAAAATCTGTCAGTATGATGTGACCCTGAGGGGGAAAAAAAAGGATCAGTGTCGGCTTCCTTAGAATGTTGTTTTTTTAAATGTTGATACTTTTGTGTGTGTAGGCATCCTTCAGTCTCGAGAGACTATGGTATCGTACTCTGTATGGAGGTCTTGGAACAGTGTCTTGTGTGGCTGAGAAGGCCAATTTGAGAGTGACAACCCCTTCCACACTGAAGACAAATCCAATCTGTCCCCTGTCCAGCTCCCTGGTTTTGCTTGTTTCGGGACTGCCTCTTTGCCTCAGTCTGCTGTACAAGTGGCTCTTCAAATTGGGAGAGGCCATGATGCAACGCCTGCCTCCAGGCTGAACGCTCAGTCGTCAAGGTTTCCCATCTGTTGAGGTCTATTCCTAAGGCCTTCAGATCCCGCTTGCAGATGTCCTTGTAACGCAGCTGTGGTCTCCCTCGGGGGTGGCTACCCTGCACTAATTCTCCATACAGGAGATCTTTTGGAATCCGACCATCAGCCATTCTCACGACGTGCCCAAGCCAACGTAGACGGCTTGGGCACTTTTATGCTTCTGTTTAATCTGGTTGCCCAAGTTCATTACTGAAGTATTCTTGCTAACAGATTGATATTGTCAAGTCCAACAATCTTAGTACTTGTTAGAATTCAAGAATAAATAATACCAGTTTCACAATGAACTGGTGCTCTTTAGTCTAGAGAAAAGGTGCCTGAGGGGGGAGGGACATACTGTAATTGAGACATATAAAATTATGCAGGGGATGGATAAGGTGGATAGAGAGAAGCTCTTTTCCCTCTCACGCAATACTAGAACCAATTTTTCCCCAACCACTGTCCATGGCTTGCTTCTCAATGGATAAATGTGTTGCAGTGGAATGAGTAACAAAACGTATAAAGATATTTTTTCCAATGTGGAGGTTGATTCTTAGATCATGTTCTGTATCCAACTATGCATACTTCAGTTGATATACACAAAACCATCTAAAAATCAGGTTCATCTTTTTAAGGAACTCAGAACCAAAGAGGTGCCTGGGAAAGGGGTGTGCTGCTGCATGAAAATTCCTTTACGGGGAATAATATGGTCCTAATTATACTTGAGGGGCAGAGGAACTAGAGACCGAATTGCTAACATGCGCTGGATTATGGAGAAAGACAGAGAGTTCCAGAAACACATCTACTTCTGCTTTATTGACTATGCAAAAGCCTTTGACTGTGTGGGCCACAGCAAACTATGGCAAGTCCCTAAAGAAATGGGAGTGCCTGACCACCTTATATATCTCCTGAGAAACCTATATGTGGAACAGGAAGCAACGGTTAGAACTGGATATGGAAACACTGATTGGTTCAAAATGGGGAAAGGAGTACGATAAGGCTGTATATTGTCCCCCTGCTTATTTAACTTGTATGCAGAATACATCATGCGAAAGGCTGGACTGGAGGAATCTGAAGCCAGAAATAAGATTGCCAGAAGAAATATCAACAATCTCAGATATGCAGATGATCCCACTCTGATGGCAGAAAATGAGGAGGAATTAAGGAACCTTGTAATGAGGGTGAAAGGTAAAGGTAAAGATTGCCCTTGACATTTTTAGTCCAGTCCTGTCCGACTCTAGGGGGCGGTGCTCATCCCGTTTTTCAAGCTGTAGAGCCAGCACTTGTCCGAAGACAATTTCCCTTGTCACGTGGCCAGACTGACTAGGGAACACCGTTTTACCTTCCCACCGAGGTGGTACCTATTTATCTACTGCTATTTACATGCTTTTGAACTGCTAGGTTGGCGAGGAGCTGGGACAAAGTGACGGG